TGCTGAATATGGAAGAAAGAGGGTTTTTTTTTTTTGCAAAGATCTGTAGATATCATTTGCTAAGAGTGGATTGCAATAAACAGACTATAAGCCACGAAAGTTTAACTGTAGGCAGAATTTATTAAGAAGATTTATTTATTTTTATTAGAAAGGCAGATTTACAGAGAGAAGAAGATACAGCGAGAAAGATCTTTTGTCCACTGGTTCACTCCCCAAAGCTGCAACTGCCAAAGCTGAGCCAATCCAAAGCCAGGAGCTTTTCCTGGGTCTCCCATGTGGGAGTCAGGTCCTAAGGCTTTCAGCCGTTTCCACTGCTTTCCCAAGCCACAATCAAGGAGCTAAATGGGAAGTAGAGCAACTGAGAAATGGAACTGCGTCCATATTGGATCCTGGTGCACACAAGGCAAGGATTTAGCTACTGAGCCATAGTGCTGGGCTGAGACAAAATATTTAACATGGCGAGAAGATGATCAGGATTGTTAATCTGCCAGAATCCTTTGGTTACAGAAGCCAAATATTGCATGTTTTCTTTGGTTTGTGATAACTAATATAGAGAGTATATGAGGGAAATAGACATCTTGGAACTTGATTATTATCTATAGCTGTTGCCCATATGCCTGTTAAACAGAGCTCTTTCTATTTTTAATTTCTTGATCTCTGAAGTTAGTGGAAAATTATATTCATGATTATAAAGTGAATTTAAATAGGTTATAAAAAGGGTTTTTTAAAAGTGGGAAGGATAAGAGGGAGAAGGAAGGATCACTGTAGTCTTAGAATTTTATTATGAACTACTTGTAATTTGCTCACTTTACAATAATAAAAAATTGAAGAAAAATGGGCCAGTGTTACGGTGCATTGAATTAAGCCACCATTTGCAACACCATCATTCCATAAAGGGTGCCAGTTCAGGTTCTACTTCCAATCCAGTGCCCTGCTAATGTACCTTGGAAAGCAACACAAGATGGCCCTAATAATTGGGCCTCTACCTAAATAGGACACTTAGATGGAGTTCTAGCCTCCTGGCTTTAGCCTGGCCCAGACATGGCTGTTGTGGCCATTTGGAAAGTAAACCAGTATATGGAAAATCTCTTTCTCTCCTGTGTTCAGTGTGACCCAGGACTATTGCCCCTGGGTGTTGTGGCATAGTGGTTTAAGCTGTCGTCTCTGACATTTACCTCCCATAAAGGCACCATTCATGTTCTGGTTGTTCCACTTCCAGTCCAGCTCCCTGTTAATCATCTGAGAAAAGCAGCAAAAATGACCCAAACCCTTGGGTCCCTGTCCCCATTTGGGGACTCAGAAGAAGCTCCTGGCTCCCATCTTGGCATGGCCCAGCATTGCCTGAGGTGGCTATGCGGGAAGTGAACCAGCAGATGGAGCCTCTCTCTGTGTGTCTCTCCTTCCCTCTCTATAACTTTCAAAATAAGTAAATAAACCTTTAAATTGATCAGCCAATAAAAATTTTTTGCTACCAAATCAACTAAACACAAGAGTAGAGCTTTCAGTGGAAAATTTCAGCAAGTAAAATCAATATCCTGAAGAATTGCTTGAAGAATATAATAGGATTGAAACCTGACTTTCCCAGTACCATCCTGAAGACAAGGCACAATAAAAGCCATGGCAAACAAGAAGTGGAAGTGACCCCGCCAATTCAGAGTAAACATTGAGGTGTCACAACTCAATGTTGCTGCTCAATGTCCTGCTTCTACAACTCCATCATCCTATATAGGTGCCAGTCTGAGTCATAGCTGTTCCACTTCCAATCCAGCTTCCTGCTAATGTGCCTGAAAAAGCATCTGAAGATGGTTCAAGTCCTTGGGCTCCTGCTCCCCTGTGAGACCCAGATGAAGTGCTGGCTCTGCCTCCTGGTTTCAGCCTGGCCTAGCACTGGCTGTTGTAGTCAAAAGTAGACATCAGTAGAAATAAAACTCAAGGATTTGGGGCTGAATTTTAAACATGTGTCTCTAATGTATATTATTAGGATAGACCAGGGCCTAGCAGTGGAGAGCATGGAAAGAAAGTTTTTTGAAATTCTGCAGGTAAGAAAGTATAAAGAGAGAAACAATTACAAAGTTTTATGCCCAAGTGACTGAAAATATTTCTACAATTAAGGAAGTCTCAAGTAGATTTGTTTTGCAGGGGAAACTCTAACTTCAAAAGATAAGTTTCACTTGACAGCTATAGAGATAGGGACGTCGTGCAGACAGTGAGAGAAGCAAAACTAAATTTTGGTGCTGAGATGTCGTGGTAAAGTCATTCACACTGAGTCAAAGCTAGGAGACTAGATGAGAATTCCCCCAAGAAACAAAAGTAAGTGAAAGATAAGATACAGAAGTTACCTCACTGATGGAAATGGGAAAAGTACCAGAATAATGTCATGATGTCAGAGTTTCAAAAAGGGAGATAGTAGGGTCTAATGTTGGGAGAGAAAATGAGAGAAACAAAAAGAACCAAAACCATTTTCTTGGCCACTTAAGAGGCTATTAGTAGCCTTAGAGCATCCTAGCTGTAGAAGTCAGAATGAGATTTAGAACTAAATAAATGATAAGAAAAATCCAAATACAAGCAAGTATGGTATAACACATTCAGTCCGCAGGTCAGCCAGTAGTGGCACTGTGTTGTACCCAGGGAGTAAGACAGAGACGCAAAAGCCAACATTAGAATTTAAATTGTTACGATGCTTTGTATCTTAAGCACCAGAAGCTTTGATGCAATAAACTGATCAGAACACTTCTTTCATCATAATTACAACATGCCTGGACTCAGAAAGACGAATCAGTGATGATTTATCTTGCCCTCAACCTATTGTTTTCTGTTTTGCCTTGGTGCCTGATCAACAGCAACCACAAAACTAGGCATTGTTACCTCCAGCTGGATGAAATGCAGACTTTTACCAGGATTTCTAGGTTATGGAATTAAAAATGGAGATACTAGGGGAAAGTCACCTTGTGTCTGACTGAAAAGGCATTTCCTTGCGAGGCAGGCACAAGCTTCTTGCCTTAATTCTAATCACGGATTTCCATGAATTGTCTAAAGTGGGTAGGGAACATCCCGACTGCAGGTGGATGAGGCCCACAAAACTGTATGATCTGGCCCTGCCTGGGCAACTGCAGGTGGAACTTGAAAATCAATAATTCTATAGAAAGCTAACTGTTGAGTTGATAATTTTTTGTGGCCCACAAATTATGTTATCAATATCCAGCTGGCCTTTGATAGAAAACAGATTTCCCACCCCTGGCAAAGCAAAGACTATGTCAGAGCCTTACTGAAATAGAATCTCTCTAAGATGATATCTTTCAATTAAACCTGACTGATTAGCCTGTGTTCAATATGGAAGAAAATTACCCAGTGAGACATTTGGGCTTTCTTCCAAGGAAGCATCACCTGCCAAAATTCACTTGCTGCCTTTCCACTGATTTGATTAATTCATCAGGCTTGAAACTTCATTTTTCTATTCTGTTGTACTTTTTTTTAATTTTCATTTTAAATTTTGAATCTTATGGTACAATTCAGTGTAGTCAATTGTCTAGATATGTCGAACACTTCCATTGGCAGTCCATCTTTTATTTGGAAGTAGGGATGCATGCTGCATTGTGTCTTCACATCTGGATATGCTAGTCTCCATTACCCCATCACTATACATTCCAATTTGCATGATGGTTTCCTTATATTAGAACATATGATATTTGTCTTTTGGGGATTGACTTGTTTCACTTAGCATAATGGTCTCGAGTTGGGACCATCTAGTTGCAAATGTTATACTTTCATTCTTTTTTACGGCTGAGTAATATTCCATGGAGTAGTAAACAAAGAGTAGAAGATCTAGTCTCCAGTGACATAAAGCAGTCTACCAACTTGGTAGGCTATAGGAAGACAGTTCCAAGTATCTACAGTCTTAAAGGCTATGGCAAATATGGTGGTTCAAAGATAATTCTACGTCTTTTCTTTAGTGTCTGATTTTTCTTCTACCAATTTTATTGACCATTTTTTGTATCCAATAGGTAGTATTAGGCATTATGGAAAATGTAAGTAATTCATATAATAACTCTAATGAACTAAATAAAAAGATATATGTTACTTCATATGATGAGGTGTCCAAAATTAGGGCAGGTGCAGTGAGGACTCAGGTTCTGCAGTGCTACAGTTCTTCCCACCCAGCTCTCCTGCTGGCTTAATCCTCAGACCCGCCAACCACATTACGTGAGTTGAGGCAGTTCTGGACATTGTAGGCAGATAAGACAATACTTATAAACAGGGGGGAAAAGAGCGTTTCTTTCTTTTGGTAAACAGTAGGAGATACAAGAGAATGTGTGCCATGAGGAAACTCAACCTAGCATCATAAACACTATATTAGAGGCATATCTGATTTATACTGATGGCATTCCACTCAGTTGGAGGGAGAGGATAGAGGCGTAACAGAAATAATCGGAGAAGACTGAGCTTTAGGAAGAGATTGTCAATCTAGTTTGGGACATGTTGAGGTTGAAGTACTATGGAATATCAAAATGAAGAAATAGGCTGAGAAATTTGGATAGGGAAAAACATGTAACATAAAGGTGGTGATGACTCTGAGAATGGCTGTGCTTGATCCAGAGAGAAAATAGAATGGGTCCAGGAAAGAGATCCCTGAAGAACACTGACATTTAAGCGTGAGTGAGGAGATGCTGAGACAGAAAATAAAATGAAAGTCTTTCAGTGGCATCTGTGTGTGGGATGGGTGATAGCCGACTAGACAAGACCGTTCTGGATATTCTTCTATGTGGTTTGTGTAAAAGACTGGTAAGCGCTGGGAACTTTTCAATACTGCCTTGCCCAGGAGCAGGCACTCTCCCCAGGAACTTGGTTGAGTGAGACAATGTTGCTGGAAGTATGACTGCATCTGAGCAGACCCCCATCCAAAGCAGAATTAAGGCTTTACAACAGTTTACAATGAAACTGACACACTCTCTCTCTCTCTCTCTTTCTCTCTCTCTCTCTCTCCCTCTCCCTCTGTCTTGCAGGAGTGGCCACACCTTGCTTGCCTTTTGGTTTTCCCGTCAAGAGGGAAAACTAAACCGACAACAGACTATTGAACTGGGACATCACATCCTCAAAGCACACATTTTCAAGGTAATTAAAGAGGTTGGAATCTTCTTCCACCTCTAGCAAAATTTTCCTTAATACTGTGTTTGAAACTACTACTATTTCAGTGTAGTGTGCTTTCTGAAAATATTTTGCTACAAAGTTGATTCATCTCCTAAGGTTTTGTCCTGTTTTTCCCCAAAAAGTACACTACCCATCTCACAATTTGACAAATTGTTGGCTTCCTGAGAATGTATTTGTGTAATGATTTAGATAAGACGCCTATACATTTAATATGCATGAGCCCTGTGTATGGTCTCCTCAAGACCGTCATATTGTAACAATCTACTTAGGTTTTGATGATACCTTTAAAAACATCACTAAAAGCATTTACTGTTTCCATTTTCTTATCATTGTTTTTAGTGAAGATTTTAATATTCCTGGTGCTGTGATTTCAAAAGTTGTTTCTTTTTTCTAAAGCTGTTTATCTGCAGCTAACAGTAGCCTTCCTTAAAACTACTCCTCCCAACCTTTCTTCAAATTGTAATTCCAATAGTTTTGAAATTTTTAACTTCCCTTTCCCAACCTTCATAAGACTGAAATGGATGACCTAGGGAAGGACATGTCCTTCATCTGTGAATCATGTGTTGAGTGTTTTCTAAGACATTAAAGTAGATCATAGGGATACAAACAAAAACATAGACCCCCTATATTAAGGAGTTTATAGTGCAGATAGCGTGTTTTGGATTAACACACAAAAGCAGAATGAGAAATCATTGTTCTAACTTTTCTAGCCCGTAGTTTACACTGGCACTGATAGGTCCAGTCCCTATAATCTCTTCAAGAGGTTTTTTTTTTCTGACTCAGAATTTTTATATAGAAATAACTTAATTTTCTGCATCAAACTTCCCATGAAATGCTGTGAAGGCAATCACTGGTATGGTGCCACCAGCTATGCCACTGTCTGTGACACTGGCATCATATAATGGAGCACTAGTTTGAGTACCAACTGCTTTGCTTCTGACCCACTTCCCTGCTAATGTGCCTGGGAAAGCAGCAGAAGATGGTTCCTGTGCATCTGCCAGTCGCATGGCACAACTCTGGCCATTGTGGCCATTTGGATAGCAAATAAGGGGAGGAAGGTGTCTCTCCCTCTCTCTGTCACTCTGCCTTTTAAGTAATTAAAATAAATCTTTTTAAAATAAACAATAAAGCAATTTGAGAGAATGATGGCATTAAAGGCACCTCCAAAAGCTACCATGGTAACCAGAAAAGGCTGTTCAATAAACAGAAATGAAATCTGAGTGACAAGTCCTTTATTTGAAACATAATTGTCTTGTCTAACAGATCATCTTATCAAAAATGACCTTATCCAGTGATCTCACTGTTAGAGCAAAGTGAAGACAAACTAATGGCCAAGATACTGCATCCTGGATTCAAGCTGACCAGGAAGTATCTGCCACTTCATAAAGTCCAAGAACTATGTTACATGAAAAAACCTAGCCTGAGCATGAATGTGTTGGCGTTGCCCTCTGCCTAGGATCAGATACAAAGACAGAGTTGATGTGTATCTTTGCTGTACCATTAAATAAACACTTCACGGGGCCAACACTGTGTAGCAGGTAAAGCTGCCAGCTATGGTACTCGCATCCCATATAGCTGGTCCTGGTTGCTCCACTTTCAATTCATCTCCTTGCTAATGTGACTGGGAAAGCAGCAAGGAATACCTCCTTCTCTCTGTAAATCTACCATTCCAATTTTTAAAAAATGTAAATCTTTTTTTTAAAAGGATTTATTTATTTTTATTGCAAAGTCAGATATACAGAGAGGAGGAGAGACAGAGGGGAAGATCGCCATCCACTGATTCAGTCCCCAGGTGACCGCAACAGCTGGAGCTGAGCCAATCCAAAGTCAGGAGCCAGGAGCTTCTTCTAGGTCTCCCACATGGGTGCAAGGTCCCAAGGCTTTGGGCCGTCCTTGACTGCTTTCCCAGGCCACAAGCAGGGAACTGAATGGGAAATTGGGCTGCCGAGACTAGAACCGGCACCCATATGGGATCCTGGCGCGTTCAAGGTGAGGACTTAAGCTGCTAGGCCACCACGCTGGACCCCAAAAAATAAATAAATCTTTATAAACAGACACCACATATGAAAAAGACCACAAAAGCTTCATTTGACCAACTAACTTTATTCAGTTGCTGGAGACCTGCGTTTAAGCCTTACACTCCTGTCATTGGCCCAGTTCTGTCTTACACTGATGTAGACAACAAAGTTGCCTAAGAGAGAAGACTAAGTGGGTGTGCAGTTTAGGCCATCAGCACGCTGGGATACAACATGGGGTGATGACGTGACTACAGACTGAAGAGTGAAGAGTTCCACTACAGTTTTCCTGTTGCTGTAATTACTGCATCCTGTAAGCACAGCTATTAATAGGCATTAACTGCTTCCAGACCACAGAATTCTCAGTCCTCATCAGCCAAGGGTTGTAACAAAGCAGGCTGACTTCAGGATGATTAGCAGTTCTGCTTAGCACTTCCCATTTGCAGTGCCATACAGTCAGATTTAAACTTGTTTCCACAATATGGAAATAATAGCCTTACCCACTTTCCTATAGCCCTTAAACCTTTTTACCCTAATTAACTGTGTAAAGATTGTCCAAAATATAATAAAAAAAAAATAAAAATAAATAAACTTGTTTCCAATTGAATTCAACTTTTCATTCATGGAAAATGTAGTCATGTAGAACATTCAAGAAGCTAGAGAGTCTACAATTCTGGATATGTAGAGACTTTTAAATTTTGCTTTTAGCAGATTTATTGACATATGTACTGTAAAATTAACCCATTTTCACTTATATGTCAGTGGTTTTTAGTGTATTTACAGTTGCGCAACTGTCATTACCATATATCCATCCTCATAAAAACTAAACAGGCCCAGTTTAAGTCACTTCTCTATTTTCTTTCTTTTCTTTTTAAAGATTTGTTTACTTATTTGACAGGGCAACAACAGAGAGGCAGAGACAGAGAAAGATCTGTCCACTGTTTAATTTCCCCAAATAGCCACCCACTGCCAGGCTAGGTGAGAGCCACGTGGCTGGCAGGGGCCCAAGCACTTGGGCCATTGTCTGCTGCTCTCTCAGGTACATCAGCCATTGAGCTGAATCAGAAGTAGAGTGAATAGCAAGGACTCAAACCAGTGCTTATATGGAAGGACAGCCTCACAGACAGCTGCTTAACATGCCGCACCACATCATCAGCTCCCTCAGTCTATCAGATAGATGGATAGATAGATACTCTATGGGTATTTTCTGCACATTTCACATAAATAGAATCTTATAATGTAATCTTTTATACCTTAGTTCTTTAATTATGTTTTCAGGGTCTATTATTATTATAGCACATACTCATTCTTTACTTCCTTTATTGCCAAATACTTTTCCTTTAGGAGATACCATATTTTGCTTATTCACAGTTGGACACTTGGGCTTTTGCACTTTATAATGTTGTGAATAATACTACTATGAGCATTAGCATACATTAATTATTAAAATAAAATTACTTAAAAGTGAGTAACTCAGTTTAATTTAATACATTCACAATGTTAGGGTGAGGTTTGTATTTATGCCTAACCTTTAAATTCCCTTGAGCATATGTACCTAGAAATAAAATTGCTGGAGCAGAATAATAACTGAATGTTTAACATTTTGAGGAATTGCCAGTCTGTTTTCCAAAGTGGCTTACACCATTTGACAGTCCCAGCAGTAATGCATGAAGGTTCTGATTTCTTCACAGCTTTTCCAACCCTTAAAGGACACTGCCCTTCTGTTATATATATAGCCACTGTGGGAGGATATGAAGTGATATCTCATTGTGATTTTGATTCACTGTCCCTTAATGTCCCATGTTGCTAACATTACAATTTTTTCATAATCCTTCCGTTGCTATTTAGATCTTTTGCTTTAAAAATGTGGGAAAAAGTTGAGTGATGGCTAGAGGTATTTTTGTCAAGTTTATAATGCAGGATATTTTCATTGAGTTGAATCTAGAAGGGTTTTGGGGTATTCTTGTATTGTAACTAGCTCTCTTAATGGTGCTCTGATGGTATCCTTTGGATACCCAAAACTCTTGGCTGGGGAAAAGGTTTTTAAGTAAAACATCAATCCTTGAACTTTGATAAAAAGCATTGATTCATGTGCAAGTTCTGCTGCTTAACATAGTAATCTCAGTTTTTTCATCTATAAATTGGTAATAATAATCACATGATTATTATAAGGAACATAGATAGGAGATATATAGAAAAGGATACTTTATTAAATGTGTATATATACATAATATAATATGTGTATATATAAGTTATATATGTATATGTTATATAATTTATGTGTAATATAAGGTGTGTATATATAATATATATAAGGTTTTATGATCAAAATGAACTTTGATGATCTTTTAGCTGAAAGTAAGACTTAATAGTAAACATAAATTGCACATGGAAATGTCACTCTGTCTCCTTGGGCTTTCCTAGTACTTTGCATATCGATGGTTGATAACTATAAAGTCTGTTGTAACTCTGCTGTTGTAGCACACATGCAGCTGGAGACAATACAGAGATGAATGGGTGGCCCTGTAATCCAGAAAAACTTGATTTACAAAAACAGGTGGAAGGCCGGATATGGCCACTGGCCATAGTTTGTCAACCCTTTCCTACAGTGAAAGACACTATTCCCTTTGTTGATCGTGTTCTTGTACTATGACCAAACATGGCCATGTGGAACAGTCAGATAAGCACAGTGGTAATTCATTTGAGACGGGTATCTGTAGGTCGGTCACTGATGACATGTCTATAAATAACTGACTTCAGTGAAGCTCATTGAAAAAGCTCCAAAGTTAGTTTTTGCCATTATTTTCTTGACTTTAAGCAAGTTATTTAACCTTACTGTTTGCTAATCTTTAAAATGGAGGTAGTAGCATTTATCTCCCATGATGGTTTGAAGATTTAATTCATTATTACATAAAAGATGCTTGGACGAAGTGCCGAGGCCTCTCGGGGCTACCTGTGTGTTAACTACATATACACACATACAGGGTGGGGAGTACTCTGGGAAGAGAGGGGCCTGGGATAGGAAAGACACATAAGGGGGGCTTCTGCTCTAATTGTTAGATTTTACTTCTTTAAAAGACAAGCTGCTTTTAAAATTAGAGCTGCTGTTTAAAATTTTTAAAAAGAAGCTCTAAAATAAAAGAGAAGCCACTTTTATTAAAAATTGAAATAACCCAAGTATTCTATAGCATAGCAAAATTTAATAAATGTGATTCTGCTGCATGTTGGGATATACAGCTGTTAAACTTGCCTGTTGAGTTCTCTATACATAAGTCCCAGAGATTATGATTTTTTTTTCAACTTAAGAATTTATGATCTTTTTTTTTTCATAGTTTTCAGGGTTTTTTTAGTTTCTTGAACAGAGTAACATAGTTATTTCCAAGTCTGATAACTCCAAGGCGTGGAGCATCAAGAGTTAGTTTCTGCTCTTTTTTAATTGTTTGAAAGACAGAGGGAAAGAAAGAGAAAAAAAGATATTCCATCTGCTAGTTCATTCCCTGAATGCTCACCACAGCCAGAGCTGGACCAGAGTGAAACCAAGAACCGGGAACTCCATCCAAGACTCCCATGTGGACAGCAGAAACCCAAGTAATCGATCCACCATCCTCTACTGTCCCCGCCCATCAGCATGAAGCTCAATAGGAAACAGTGTAGCCAGGACACAACCTGGCTCTCCAATATGGGACACAGGCCACCAAGTAACTGTTTAACCTACTGTGTGTCAACTGCTGTCCCTTTTGTATTATTTGTGCCAATGTTCATTGATGTTTTCTTTTTTCCCATGTCCCTGAATAGTTTTGCTGTGTTCTGGTCATTACATTTCCGAATAATTTGAAACTAGGATGATATTGGCTTACCCTAGACATGATTTGTTTACTTAGTTGTTGATGATCACCTCATCCAGTTTTCAAAGACTGAGATTATTTACAATTCGGTGCATGTGAGATCCTGGCCATAGCTACTTCACCTTCATTGCAGGAATTAAGTCCTCTGTAAAAGGCAGGGTCCAATAGCAAAGGAAGTTCACCGAGACACTAATGCAGTCTTGGAACCTGTGTTACCATCCCATCTCCCTGGCCATCAGAGGTCTTTGCAGTTAACCCTGTGTCAACAAATACATACGGGGAAAAGCAGTTCCAGAGGGTCTCCCTAGCTCCACTCTGCACTTCATCTCCCCATATTTTTAAGAGGATGTTTTCAAAACTTTGTTAGACTGTTCTTAGTTTTCCATAGTGAAAATGCTTGTTCAAGTTGCCTACATCTGCCATTAGCAAAAGTAGAAGTCCACTCAAGTCCCCGTAAGCAAAATTTACAGCCTAGCATTCTGGGAACATCCAAGTTTTCTCTCAAGGTCTTAGGACATGGAAAAGCAAGTGAACAGCCCCAAAGAAAGATGTGAAATGGAGTTGTGGCTGGCGATTCTGAAACAGACCACTTAAGTCAGCGTGTTCCTGCAGGACCAGTGCAAGTTCCTTCGGGGCTGAGCTTGGCTGGACATGGACATTGTGACCATCAGACTCTGCTTGCATGCGTTGGTACAGATGCCTAGGGCCACTCACTCACCCCTGAGAGAACTTTATAATTGGGCTAATGATATCACTGTCTCTCTTTTTCAGGGTTTGAGTAAAAAAGTTGGAGTGTCATCTTCCATTCTCCAAGGCCTCTGGATCTCCTACAGCACAGAAGGCCTTTCCATGGCGTTGGCGTCTTTACGGAATCTCTACACTCCAAATATAAAAGTAAACAAAGAAACTACAGATACATTAAAAGGCTGACTGGAGAAGACAAAATGTGAAAGATACAAAATGGCTATTTATTTGATCTTCAGCTTGCCTTCTGCTGTCTCCTACTGACTAATCTTTTACTGATAATTTACTGTATTTTAAATTAGTGTATATTATTTTGTGAAGCAAAGGCTAACCCTGTTGTCCTTCTACCTTCTATGAGCTGACTAACAGGGGTCCTGCTGGCTCCAGAGAAGGGACTGGTCTCAGGAGCTTTTGTTTTGGTGGGGACTTGCTAGAGACTTTGTTCAGGACATTTGCTCTTGCCAATAAGAAGTTTCTATGAAGGAAACATTTTACATTCCTTTCCAAAGGCAAAGAACAAATGAAGAATACAGAATAAGGCAGTTACTGAGTGTTACCAGGCACAACTGTAGGACCGCAAATGATGTAATTAAAGATTTCTAAAGGAAGTAACCGATACTTGTCTGATTAATAATTCTGCTTATTATTTCTAGGTGAGCCGACTTCTGATTTTGGGAGGTGCCAATATTAATTATCGAACAGAGGTTCTAAATAACGCTCCGATCCTGTGTGTCCAGTCTCATCTCGGTTACACAGAAATGGTAGCCTTGTTGTTGGAGTTCGGGGCCAACGTGGACGCCTCTTCGGAAAGTGGCCTGACTCCCCTGGGCTATGCTGCAGCGGCAGGCTTCCTCAGCATTGTGGTGCTCCTGTGCAAGAAACGTGCCAAGGTAACACTGCCCACCTCTGCTGCTTCCCCTCTCTTGGAGTGTCACCTCATGAGCCCAGGGAGAATGTATCCGTTGTAGAGGGGAGGCAGATGCACTGACTCTTCTCAAAATCTGCTCACGCCTCTCTGCCCTCCTACGTGACTGATTTCCCTTCAGTATGTCTCTCTGAAAATTCTCAGTCTAAGGACCTAATTCACCTTCTCTTCTGCCTTGGAGGAGTGTGTGCCTTCTTTCCAAAATGCTTGCCTCCACCTGTACTTTGATTCTAGTGTGTAACTCTTTATTAACATATTAACAAACTGTTTCTAAATCCACACTATGTTTTTTCTTGGTTTCTACAAACCCATTTCTAACCTAAAAATGAAATCTCCATCTCTCCAGCTAACTTGAAACTGCGCCCCATATCTTCTGTCACGACCACCAAACCTGTCCTGAGAGCCTTTGCTTGCTGCTGCCTCTCCTTCCTTCCTACTCCCTAAACACATGCAGTTGGGCTATCACAGATGATAAAGGAGCAGTTCATTAAAGTCGAAAGCTCGGAAATCAAACACAGCTGGGTCCAATCCACAACTGGGTTCATACTTACTTAGCATGAGGTGTTACACAAGATATTTAACCTCTGAACCTGGTGTAATAGCTCAGTGCCTGTGCCTTGCAAGAACTAAGATCCCATATGGGCACCAGTTCTAATCCTGGCAGCTCCTCTTCCCACCCAGCTCCCTGCCCAAAGCCTTGGGACCCTGAACCCACATAAGACACCTAAAAAGAAGCTCCTGGCTCCTGGCTTCGAATCAGCTCCGCTCTGGCCATTGCAGCCACTTGGGAGGTGAACTGACAGATGAAAGTTCTTTCTCTCTGTCTCTCCTTCTCTCTGTCAATCTGATTTTCCAATAAGAATAAATAAATCTTCTAAAAAAGATATTTAACCTCTCAATCTCATATTTTTCTTCTACAGAGAGAAATAGAATCAAAGAATAACTTTTTAAAAAGGAAGTTTCTTTCAATCTTTTTATTATTATTATTATTATCATTAGAAAAGCATATTTACGGAAAGAAGAAGAACAGAAAGGTCTTTCATCCTCTGGTTCACTGCCCAAGTGGCTGCAATGGCCACAGCTGAGCTCACCTGAAACCAGGAGCCAGGAGCTTCTTCTAGGTCTCCCACATGGGTGCAGGGTCCCAAGGCTTTGGGCCGTCCTCTACTGCTTTCCCAGGCCACCAGCAGGGAGTTGCGTGGGAAGTGGAGCAGCCAGGACACAAACCGGTGCCCCTATGGGAATTCCAGCACATGCAAGGCGACGATTTAGCCACTAGGTCATGCCAGGCCCAAGTCTCTTTCCATCTTATGCAATGCCTGATAAATATCATTCTTAAAGAAAAAAAAAAATGCCCCAACTTTTGAGCCATATGGTGTGCTACTCAGAAGTCACGAGATAAGTGCAGCTTTTTCTCGTTCGCCATCCCCCTAGGGCTCCAGCGTTGGTGACGTTGAACTTCTAGTGTGTTTCCCTCCTCCTTTCTGTGTGCTCTGCTCTCTTCCTTCTCTTCCTAAGTCTATTCACTAACACTGCGTCCTCTGAGCCTCCCTGGCTTCCCCATGCTGTTCTCCCTTGGCTTCAACGAATTCAACTGGGGTCTGGTTCTTCTGGCTACAGTTGCTAATTCCTGAAAATGTGGGAGGACTCTGGTTTCGTATTCCTAGCTGCTGCTGACAGTTATACCCGGGTGCCTCTCCAGCACCTTGCAGCTAACATTCTGAAATCCACTCATCATCTTGATCCTGTAACTACTGCCTCCCCCTTGCTTTTTAAGATCTGCTAATATAACCCCCACTTTTCTCAAAACTAAGGAATCTGTGGTGATTCCTTCTTTTTTCCCTTTCGAAATTCATTGTTTATCTGTGTAGCCAAATCTTTTCCATTTCATCCTCCAAATAACTTGAGCAACTATTCCTTTTGTCTCCGTTATAACTAGTACCATTATCCTGGTCATTCTTAGTATTTTCTTGTGTAACAAACCCTTTTCTCAGATTCTAGTCTTACATATTTACCACATCCTTTCCTTAATTTTTTAAGCCTCTTATTTTTAAATTCTAGATTTTCTTAAAAACATTGCAAAAATAGTACAGAGATCTCATATTTGTTACCCTCCGTCCAGCTTCTCTTAATGTTACCAGCATAAGTAACCATAGTCTAATAATAAAAAACCAGAAAAATATGGCTATAATATATTTTATTTGAGGGACAGAGTCCCATCCACTAGCTTACTCCCTAAAATGCCTGCACCTGCCATGGCTGGGCCAGGTGAAAGTCAGGAGCGCTCATGGGTGCCGATTTGGGTCCCAGATGTTCCACTTCCCTTCTAGCTCTCTGCTTGTGGCCTGGGAAAGCAGCAAAGGACAACCCAAAGCCCTGGGACCCTGAACCCATATGGGAGACCTAAGGGAGGTTCCTGGCTCCTGGCTTCGGATGGGCTCAGCTCTAGCCATAGCAGCCACTTGGCAAGTAAGCCAGCAGATGGAGGATCTTTCTCTTGTCTCTCCTCTTTCTGTAGATTTCAATTCCCAATAAAAAGAAAATCTTTTTTAAAAATTTGAAACAACCAAAATCCCATATCAAAGTAGCGGGGTTTGATTCCCAACTCCACTTGCAATTTCAGCTTCCTTCTAATGCATGGCTAGGAGACGACAGTGACTGCAGTGCCTGGTCCCTGCCACCCTGTGGAAAGCCTGAGCTGAGTGTCCAACTCCTAGCTCAGCCAGGCCCAGCCCCAGCTATTGCAGGCAACTGGGGAGTGTACCACTAGGTGGAATATCTTTCTGTATCTCTATCTCTCTGCCATCCAAGTAATAAAAACACATTTATAAAAAGAAATAAAATAAAGCACTTGAGGTACATAGTGTCTACATGTCTTTAAAAAAAAGTTGTTTTGAAAGATGGAGTGACAGAAAGGGAAAGGCACAGAGGAAAAAGAGAATTTCCACTTGTTGCTTAACTCCCCAGATCCTATGAGACCAGAAGCTAGGAATTCTGTTTAGGTCTCCTATGAGGGTGTTAGGTACTTAGTCCGCCATCGTCTGCCTCCTGGGTACATTGGAAGGAGGCCAGATCAGAAGCACCGAATAACAAGACTCAGATCTGGCATGCTGATTGGAATGCACACAGCCCAGGTAAAGGCCAAGCTCACTGTGCCACCAACACTTGCCCTGATATGTCTTCCTGAGGGTGATACCAACAGACCAGGTAGTGTCTTCCCATTTTTTCAACTCTGAAGTTAATTGTTTTCCCTTGTTAATTATGAAATATCTTTTAGGAAAATAATTTGTGATTAGGCAGATAAGTAACTTGTTTCTCATCCTACTCTTATGTGCTAATTTTAGGAAACATTGTTGAGTCTTGATTTAATGATTACTACTGTGATGTTTGCCTGATGGTGAGTTTCTGTGTCCATCATTCATTCAGCATTTATTAACTGGACTCTTACGAGGAATGGCTGTCCTTTCTCCCCTGTGTATTTAATATTCAGTTATTTATTTGTATCACTAGGGAGTCGTGAATATTTATTTTATTCTACGGGATATACTCTGTTACCGTTGCTACTCATTGCAGTGCTCAGCTGTCCCAGGTTTGACCAATGGAAGCTCCTTCAGGCTGTTTACTATGTCTTTTCAACTTCTCCTTATTGTGTTTTGAATGCTTACTTGCTTTTTGCTACCACAAGATATTTCAGACTGGATTTTGACTGTCACTGCCTCGCCCTGGAATCAACCATTTCTCTTAACCATGATTCCTTTACTCATCCCCTGATATTTTTGAAAATTTAGTTCTGAGCATCTAAACTCTGAATGATTGTTCACTACTCACTGATTAAAATTCAGACCACCTAGCCTAGCATTTAAAAATATCTATAATCCCAAAAGATCTTCTCAACTATGTAGTTTAAAATTTCCTACTACCATTACAAAAGCTAGAATCAGTTAACCATGTCTTGTGTCACCCCGTTGAGATAAGCCTTCCGCGTGAATCCCTTCCTGATTCTAGGCAGGAATTAATTTTCCTTTCTCTACAATGTTATATTTTTACTTTGCCTTGGACATTTGCTGTACACTCTCGTGAAGCAGGCTTTTGTCACGTCAGTCACATCCTCTTCCCCTCCCTCATTCAAGAGTCCTTGAGAAAATCATCTGTGTGCCAGGGTCTTACCTGTTTCACTGTCTGCGATGCCTTGTACCTGCCAGGCACAGTGCACATGGGTTATGTGGTTTATTGGGCAGAAGCAGCGTCATTAAGGGAGCCAAACGTAACTGAATATTTCCAGTGCTCTAAGAGACACATAATCACACATAGTAGAGAAAGCTACTTCATTTGCTGAAACTTGGGACTAAGGACTTCCTAGTAGTTGATCTAATTACACCTCTTTAAACATAAATGCGTAGCAAACACTTAAATTGTAAAAACTGCCCTTAGAGTTTAGTTGAGCCTTAAGCTCCAAGTGCCATAATCATTTTGTTCAGATCTTTGAGATGCTTCCCTCCTGTTGAAAAGAGGAAGTCATCCTTGCCAAAGCTTGGTGGTCAAGTGAAGTAGTCATGATGTGTTTGGTTCCTTGGAAGACAAAAAAAAAAAATAGAGCTTCAAAATTTTTCCTACCTTTTCATGATTTCAAAGACATTTTTTGTGTGTGTGCCAACACAGCTACAAGTCCAATCTTGCACTAGAAAGAACTATTTGAGTACAAAGGAGAATGTTCCTCCGAATGGCAAAGCTCAGACAGAGGCTTCTGGTTTTTATTTTTCTTTTAATGTGAAACAAAAGCCTGACTTTCCTTTCTAGAGAAAAGAAATCCCTCCAGAGGGTCGTCTAACAGAACTGTGTCTCGGGAATGAACCAGCCTGAGAAGACAGTATCGTCTGAATTTGCCAAGAGACTGGTTCAGGGGGGCAGGAAAAGATGAGTTGAATAGTCCGAACATCTGCAGTGGGCTGATGCAATAGACTGGCAGCACAGGCGCACATCTTGGCTCATGTCAGTTCTCTGTCCTCTCCCCTAGGTGGATCACTTGGATAAGAACGGGCAGTGTGCTTTGGTCCATGCTGCACTCCGAGGTCATCTGGAGGTTGTCAAGTTTCTAATTCAATGTGACTGGACAATGGCTGGACAGCAGCAAGGAGTGTTTAAGAAAAGCCATGCCATTCAGCAAGCCCTCATTGCTGCAGCCAGCATGGGTTACACTGAGGTAAGAACATGATGACGTTTTTTTTCCCTCAGATATGTATTGAAGACTCTGAAAAACCTGAAGAAAATGGTTGGGTTACTACAAAATTGCCAGCAGAATTAATACAAATTTTGATCACTACTCTGAGGAATAAGGAAATTAAAATCGATTGAACACTTGACTATTCAAATATCAAGATACCTAGAATTATGGACATCAACATGAGAGTTGAAAAGGACTTTGGAAATTGTCTGATCTAGTTCTTTCCCCTATTTAACAATGCCTCAGGAGAATTAATTATTGGCCTCTGTTCATGTATTTAGACAGTGTGGATCAGGAAGAGCACATATTTAGAATTTCAGAAAGCATTTGGCCCAGCTGTTAACAACACCAGGCCTCCATTCAGGTAGATTTAACAAGTTAAGCCGCCTCCTGGGATGCCCTCATTCGCACCATAGTTCACATTCCAGCTCCACTTCCAATCCAGATTCCTGCGATGAATCTGGAAAACAGCAGGAAAATTTAAGCACTTGAGTCCCTGCTACCCAGATGGGAGACTCAGAGCTAAATCTGGTCCTGGATTTGGCCTTGACCCAGCCACAGCTGTTGCAGACATTTGTGGAGTGAATTATTGAGTGAAAGATCTCTTCGTTTCTGTTTCTCTCCCTCTCTGTTGCTTTATTTTCCAAATAAATAAATAAACCTTAAAAAAAAAACAAAAAAGGTATCGGCATCCCATGTTAGAGAGCCTGAGTTTGGTACCCAACTTCCTGCGCATGCAGATGCTGGGGAGTGAGTTCCTGCCACACACATAGGAGACCTGGACTGAGTTCCCAGCTCTCAGCTTTAGCCCTGGCCCAGTCCCAGCCATTGAGGGCATTTGGGTAGTCCATCTGTAGATAGGAACTTCCTCTTTCTTTTTCACTTTCTCTCCCTCCCCCCACTCCTCCCCTCTCCCCATCTCCTTCCTTTCACTCCCCTCCCTTTCTCTCTCCTTCCCTCGCCTCTACTTAAAAATTTAAAAAAAAGAGAGAGAGAGAGCGACTCTTAGTACAAACAGGTTTGTTCTTTCTCCAATGACTTTACTGCCACTAAATCTGAGGCCTGACCCACTGTTCAACTAATTCTCATCATACTATTCCCTAAACTGAAACTCCTGAGCACAGGCTTTTGGCCTGGTGGTTAAGATAACAGGATTCAGGACAAGCTCATCTGACCCAGCTTCCTGATAATGTGGAGCCTGGGAGGCGACAGGGCTTCCTCAAGGGTCTGGGTTCCTGCTACCCGTGTGGAAGTGCCAGCTCCCAGCACTGGCTCCAGGCAGGGGCTGGTGTCAGCACTGCAGAGTGAAACAGGAGATGGGAACTAACCAACTAACTCTCTCCCCAACCCCCAACCTTGCTTTCTCTATTTCTCCCTGACTCTTATATTAAGGGGGGGGGGGGAATAATTGGTGTACTCTGAAGAAATACAGGTCCTCAGTATTCCCCAGGTTTATTTTCTGTGGTCTTTAAGTTGGGAAGATGAGAGATTATTTCTTTAACTTAAATATGGTGACTAAGTAATACTTAAATATGTATTTATTTGAAAGGCAGAGCAACAGAAAGGGGGAAAGAAGAGAGAGAGAGAGAGAGAATATCTTCCAAGCACTGTTTACTCCTCAAGTAGCTGTAACAACCAGAACTGGGCCAGGCTGAAGTCAGAAACCAGGAACTCCATCCAGGTCTCCCAAATGAGTGGCAATGGCTCAAGGACTTGGAGAATGTTCTGTTGCCTTCTCAGGCACGTTACAAGAAAGCTGATTCCAAAGCAGAGCAGCCAGGCTTCAAACCTACGCTCCAGTATGGAACGCTGGAGTAGTAAGTGACAGCTTACCCTGCCCCACCTCAGTACCAGCCCCAGAATTTGCAATTGTTTAAAGTCACATGCTGTGTGTGCCTGAGATAGGATAAGGAGTCATCAGGACAACACTGCGTTGCTTTGCTAGGACAGTTCTAATTCCCTTTTGTATACAAGAGATCATCCAGGTGTCCCCCGGGCCTCACAGTCCAGAGTCAGTGGTGTAGATTTCCACTGGATTTTGAGCTGACATGCCTTCTTGTTTCAGATTGTCTCCTACCTACTTGATCTTCCAGAGAAAGATGAAGAGGAAGTGGAACGAGCCCAGATTAACAGCTTCGACAGTCTCTGGGGAGAGACAGGTAGGTCCCTTTCATGGGCGTTGCTCTCTTCCTGTGAACATGCTGTGCTCGTGTGGACTGTGTCTCACAGGCTCCATTTTCTCTGGCTTACGTGTGGCATTCTGCTGTCCTACGTCTCCTATTGAAGACAAATAAAACATCAGTTCCCCTTTCAGTCCTCTTCCCCCACTTCATTTCCAAATATTTTTGAAAGACGGAAAATTTCCTTGCAACTTGCCAAACCAGAACAAAAAGCAACTGTGGCCTTTCTCTTTTTTAAAAGCTTCTTGGTTGTATTTAGGGAATAAGTATTTCTCTCAGAATAAGTATTTCATCATAATAACTGTTCACCTGCAATTGTAAACCAGCAGATTGCATTTTTATCCAAACCTCTGGCTTCACCAAGTGTTACTGTGTGTGGTTTCTGACAAGTGAAGCTGAAGCAGTATGAATAAAGCTGCTATCTGGACGCACAATGGAGCTACCGCCCTGTCTGTTCCTCTTGGTCTGTAGCAAAGCAATTTGTTTGTGGTTTGGTTCTCACCCCACACAACCCCACCAACAAGAGCTCTTCCTCCTGGCCTTTGCAGGAAATCATTGTGGTCTTTCCTCCAAGTCTAAACTGGAGCATCTGGAGAAACATTAGGAACCTTTGATGTGCTCTTGTGATGCCAAGGCAATGAAAGCGGTAGAAAAGCCACAGATAACATGTCCTATGTCCCAGTACATAGAAGTAAACCAATATCAAGGTGGCCAATTTATAGAGAGAATATGTTACCAAATAAGGAAGATACACACTTTGGTTAGAGTGTTGTTAATAAGTCTCTTGAACTCACTTAGTGTGCATAATAACCTGTTCAGTTATAATGCTTCTTCCCCTGACAAAATATTACCTAGGTTTCATGACTGTTGTAAAATCATGTGAAATGATCCACAAGTTGGGAATGTGCTTTGCAAACAATCTCTCGCTGTGTAAGAGCCAAAGAGAGCAGATGCCAGGCAGCTGCAGCTTAAGAGCCCGTGACAGCTTGAAGGGGAATGTGCAGCTGGAGCACTGCTCCCCAGGGGGAAGCTCCAGGCCAGGGTGTCGGCCTTGCTGGAGCACGTGTGTGTCCTGGGGTGCGGGAGGCACATCTCAGACCTCCTTAGCCCAGTGTTGCCCTGCACCCCACTGACCCCTTGTTGTCAGGGCCATGGAGATGTAGCTACCAAGGACAGCACAGAACAGTCATGGCCCGCTGGTAATACTGGATGGAAATTGTAAGACTGAAAGCCATGTGCTGACTCATCCTGCCATTAGACTTCAAAGACATTAGCTGTTCAAAAAGGAGCTGACAGAAGATTGTTTTTATCTGTATGAATTCCTTACTAGAGTAAAACTCCATGGTTTTGAAAGTAGTTCATGCTTTAAAGTGCACTACAAATTTGTATATTAATTTACATACATACAGATCATATCTCAAGATTTTAACATTCAGAATTTCATGTCTGCTTATAATCAGAATTCTGTTGTCTAACTTGCCTTTAACTACAGTATATTTAGTAGTAAAAGCATAAAATGATGCTTAAATATGAGTTAGAATGAAATGTATTTGCAATACAACTTCTACATCTGAAAAAATTTTGATTTTGGAAAAACAAATCAATCTAGAAAATAAAGATTGTCTTTGCTGTGTAAAAATGATCAAATGATCTTACAACTCATCATGAGTATAGGATAGGCTTTGAATTACTGTTCCACCTGTAGAGAAGTTCACTAAATATATATATAATATATGTAAGTATATTCTTTTATATACTTACATATGCTTGTATATACTTATATATATACATATATATATTCCATTCTCATTTCTAGCTCATAATCATTTACTGTTTGTAATGACCCATTGGTTTATGATATTTCCTCCCATTAGGAAATCTGATGTGTATTTTGGCATATACTGGTACAATTGGTCTGTGACCTTCAGCTACCTGGTAATGGTAACCTATCTGCATCTCTGACCTAAACAATGTCATTTTTACCCAAGGAAAATGCAGTAGTTGCAATGTTTCCAACTGTCTCTTTCATTTGCTGTGTTACATCTTTGACATCAGTAACAATAAGAAACTATGTAGCCATTATTTTGTGTGCCACTACAAACACAAAGACAGCATCTTAAACTGTGGGTTGGAAAGTCCTCATCCCACAGCAGGGTACCAGTTCCAACCCCAGCTCACCTGCTTCTGATCCAGTTTCCTGCTAATGTATCCGAAAAGGCAACAGATAATGACTCAAGGGTTTGGATCCCTTGCTCCCACATGGGAGACCAGATGGAGTTCCATGTTCCTGACTTTGACCTGGCCTGACTTTGGCTGTTTGGCAGGCATTTGGGGAAAGGAGCCAAAAATGAAGGTCAATCTTGCTATCTCAACTCTTGTTCTCTCTCTCTTTCAAATAGATGAAAATAAAATAAATAAATAAAAACAGTATAAAACAGGTTTGATGTTAAAGAAAAACTCTCATTAAAAAGAACTTCTGTCGGGCCTGGCGCGGTGGTGCAGTGGCACAGTGGTTAAGGTCCTCGCCTTGCACGCCCAGGATCCCATATGGGCGCCGGTTCTAATCCCAGCAGCCCCGCTTCCCATCCAGCTCCCTGCCTGTGGCCTGGGAAAGCAGTCGAGGACGGCCCAAAGCCTTGGGACCCTGCACCCGTGTGGGAGACCCGGAAGAGGCTCCTGGCTTCGGACTGGCATAGCATCGGCCATTACGCTCACTTGGGGAGTGAATCATCGGACGGAACATCTTCCTCTCTGTCTCTCCTCTCAGTATATCCGCCTTTCCAATAAAAATTAAAAAATAAATCTTTAAAAAAAAAAAGAACTTCTGTCAATTAAGTTGATATAATTCTTTATCACATCAATTGTGAAATACCTCCTGATTTCAGAGATATTAAAATGTAGGGGGAAATTAATGTTAGAATCGCTAAAATACATTACAGCATATAATGAAAACAGTGAGACTTAGTTTTCACATCCTGGATTTTCTAAAAACAAGTCACTAGAATATTCTGGTTGGTCTGTTCTCCTTTAGCAGCCTTCTTGTTCTTCAGCATCTTCCCTCATCCAACCTTCACCATCTGTCTGAGTGACACCTCTCATGCCATAGGGCTTTCATAGACTTCAGATGGAGCAACACATGGAAGAAACACAAAGAAGGGGACAGCATTGTTCAACCTTCCTTCCCTCCCTGTGTTGTGGGTGCAGACCAAGACTAGCGTTAAAAGCTTCTAGCAGATCTGGAGTCCAGGCCTTGAAATACATGACCCAGAAGAAGCCCAAAATCACAGAATGGGTTGTGTCGCTTAAACCTGTCTGTGGCAACTGCCTCCTATCTTCTCACCCTTGCCTTTAGCCTCACTCTTTAATGTCCCAGACTTCAGCCAAAGGGATCTTTTTAAGCCATAATATACCCGTGTCACTTTTCTGGTTGTTGATCTTCCTTCACCACTTGCAGAATTAAGTTCTTAACTATACCATAAAAGGAGAGTCATGTCTACATTGATGTGTATTACCAAGAATTCCAGTAACAATGAACATGTTGGTTGCCTTTTCACACACTCTCCCTTTGCTTGTACACGCCACCCCCACCAACCCCTGGCATGCCTCTGCAAGTAAGTCTCCTGTTTAATCTTTGGCCATCTAGCTCAAATTTTCGTGGTTTCCTGGAACCCTTCTCAGATACCTCTTCCTCTGTGCCACCTCCAAACCTGGATACATGTCTCCTATTCTTGTGCTTATCACACTGTATGATGTGTTTGTCAGATTTTCTTTCTCGGCCATATGTTCCTTGAGACAGAGACAGTGTCTTAACAAATAGCTCAGTAAGTGCCTAATTGAGATTGCTTTGGATAGCAGCAATTGGTTTCTGTCTCCGCAGCTACCTTCCCTCACTGATTTATATGACATATCTGTGTTGTATTCTTTAAAGTTGAAAATAGAATCATTTGCTTCTCTGCATTCTGCTTGGTGTCAGCATCCCATCCAAGCAGACTTTGGCTATTTCCCCAACTCCGAGCTGTCTCCTGTCTGCCTCTTCAAACTCCTCAGATGTTTTCCTTTGGAAAAAGATCACTTAACGTCTCAGATGCCAACAAGCCAGGGAGCAAATTCTGTTACTGGTTTCTTTAGGAGGAGATTTGGCTCCTAACTGCTATGTTTGGTCTAAGAACCAATTTGTTATTTTTACAGAACTGGCTTTACTGTAATCTCTTTTTCAAAGAGTTCTAAAAGTTTTTGATAAGATTCATATAAAATCTAATCAAAGCTGCTCTTTTTCTAAAAAAAAAAAAAAAAGAAAAAAAGCCCAGATTCCATTTTACATAATATGAGCTTCTAAGATGAAACTGGCCAGGCGTGTTAATGACTGAGTCCAGCTATCAGCTGAAAGTTGCTGCCAAATGACGTCAGAATCTAAACAACAGGGATGAAACAGAAAAGAGCTGAATGGGACACTCCCTTTCATGTAAATGTGTGTTCCAGTGGAGAGAAGTGAGCCAACCAGAGCAGTGTAATTGTTAGAGTGGCCAGTGTAGCTTTCCACATGGGCACTATTGTAACACTCACTTATATTTCTGTGAAACTGGTGTCATCAATAAAAGGCAGAATTCAGAAATACTGTCTGTGCTATTTGTGAAAAACAGTACATTTGGTCTCCACGTAGGGAGGTTTGCTGTATCACCCAAAACTACTTTGCATGAGATCAGAACATGGGACTTAGAAATTCCCCATATGGTTTATCTCATGAACCAACAAGATGATTCTTGTAGTTCCTAGGGTGTGTCTATCCCAGTCAACTTCTTAAATTACTCTTAGGTCCTAACCCTAGGGTTAACTAGCAAGTTGTTTCTATTGGGAAAGAGAGAAATGACTTGGATTTGAAGAACAAGAGATGAAAATTAAAGAGGTTCTAAGTCATTGCAGTCATTAACATCTGGATTCTTCATTCAGGGCTTACAGATGGCCCTAACCTCAGATAGGGCTGGACGGCTGCCCTCCTGTGGGAAGCTGACACAAATGCCAGTATCAACAGTTTCAACCTAAAAATTGAAAATAAGTGCCCATGAGGCAAGCTGTAGATAAGGCTGGGCCAAGCCTGCAGAGGACTTCTAAAATCAGTCCTTCCGATGCCAGGGAAGGAAAAGGTTACTGGAAGACTTGCCTTTGTGGAGATTAGTGTTTGTTCTCTCTCTTCTCCTCCTCCTCCTTCCCTCCCTGCTACTCTACCTTTTAAATAAATGCACCTTTTTTAATTGTCAATTTATGATTTGTCATTGAAATAAGGAACAGAGATAAGGAAGAACCTGCTATTTACTGTGTTCATTCTTCAAGTCAATTTGGAAAAAAAAAAATTAGTTTTTCTCTTTCTTTAAAAAGAAGGTATTTAGCCTCACTATTTAAACCACATCAAAATGCTGGAGTTTATTCCTGTATCAGGCTCCTGACACCAGCATCCTGCACCAGGAAACCCTTGGAGGTAGCAAACATGGCTCAAGTAATTGGATCCCTGGCACTTACATAGGAGGCCTGGAGTGTGTGTGGTCCCAGCCAAGTCCTGGCCACTGCAAACATTTAAGGAGCGAACCAGTAAATAGGAGAGTTCTTTTTTCTCCTTTCCTTTCCCTGTGTGTGTGTGTGTGTGTGTGTGTGTGTGTGTGTGTGTGTGTGTGTGTGAGATAAACACATCAGAGTATCTGGTTTCAAATCCCAGCTCTGCTGGTTCCCGCTTCCTGCTAATGCACACCTCAGAGGCAACAGATGACAGCTACTTGAGTCCCTGCCACTCACATGGGAGACCTGGATGACCCAGTCCTGGCTGGTTTGAGCATTTGGGGACTAAATCTCACTCTCTTTCCATCTTTCAAATAAAGTGAAAATTAATTTTTAAAAATTATGAATGAAAACTGGCCCAAGACCCTTAGACTCCAGTTTATGACTTGATTTGACTGGGTTTGAGAACCCAAGAGTAGAAGCTGGTCCCAGCTGATTCTAGAGAAGATCTCTCTGGCTTTCAGGGCTCCTCCCACACTCAGACTAACAAGTGTCTGGTCAGCAGAGGTATAAAATGGCCAAGTCAGTCAGCATAGGAAAATGGTTTGGTCAAAAATAACTTGTCGCAAGATATATTCTTATAGTGGTCCCAAAATATTATGAGCTCATTTACATGTTTTCTAAATTGCTTTTCTTTTGAAGTTCCTTCATAGAAAAATGCCTATTTTGGAGGTAAAGTGGCAATTACTTTAATTAAACACAGATACCATGTCATGCTTAACATTGGGATTGGAGAGGACAAGAACCACTTACCCTCAGTCTTCGTTCTCTGCCCCCAGCCCTGACAGCAGCGGCCGGAAGGGGCAAACTGGAGGTGTGCCGTCTGCTGTTGGAACAAGGGGCAGCAGTGGCCCAGCCAAACCGCCGAGGGGCAGTGCCTCTATTCAGTACCGTTCGCCAAGGCCACTGGCAGGTAAACAAGTAGCTACTACTGGTTCCTCAGACGGGAACGAGTTCTAGGTAGGAACTTGTGATGCAAACAAAACGATTACCAGAAAACTTGGGGTTACCCATAGTCAATGAGTGTGAGGACCATGCACCTTTGTTATCAAACATTGAAAAAAGTTAACGTTTAAATCCATCATCATAGTCCAGATTGACCCACTGCCTTTGTCCTGCTCTCGGGGTAGTCTCCCCTTCCTCCTTGTCTCAGCGAGCCCATCTGTCCATTGGAAGCATGGCTTCTCTGCAGAGCCTGCTAACCTCACCAGCTGTCTCAAAGAAATGTGCAAGCCCTAATTACATCATTTTTCCAGATGTTTGGACACTAGATAAATGTTAATTTTTGTGCTTGAGACGGAGAATCAAGCAAGCTGACATGAGTACAAAAAAGGCTGTAGGAGCCAAACACCGATAAGAAGTTGTTAGTAGCAGTGTGTTCATTTCAGCTATAAATATTCACTGCTACACATAGGCTGGAACCCCTAGAGGAAAATGAAATGGCAGTGATGGAGGGAGTGACTTCTTTGTTAGAGCTTTCATTATGGGATTGTTTAATCTACCTCATGGCTTGTTATCTCAGTTTGTTTTTGGTTTTGTTTCTGTTTTTTTTTTTTTAATTTAGTGGCTCAGTTGGATGTTAATTGAATCTTCTCATATGGTTATCCCTAAGACACTTCAAGATTAAGTCACACAGTACCAGGATTGTACTTGTGCTGGCGAGGGTACGGGGCGGAGGGGGGCAGGAGGAGTGCATAGAAGAAAGCTACTTAGGTTGCTCACCTGTACAGCAGTTAAGAGTTCATGCACCGCGCGTGTGTCTTGACCTAATTGATCCCTGTGTCGCTGCCCTTGCAGATTGTTGACCTTTTACTCACCCATGGAGCTGATGTCAACATGGCAGACAAACAGGGCCGCACTCCCCTGATGATGGCTGCTTCGGAAGGCCATCTAGGCACCGTGGACTTTCTACTAGCACAAGGTCAGTCTTGGGGTGGTCAATGCCACAGTAACCCACTAAGTTCATGATTCCCAGCAAGGAACTCCAGGAGATCTTAAGAATGGATATTACTGATCCCATTGGTTAAAGAACTCACGTCCTTCCAAATGTAAGTGGAATCCTAACTCTTTAATGTTTTCTGTTTGCCCATGGCCTGGACTGTTTTAATCAAATAATTGCATCCTAAATTCTCATTCAAATCTGTAATCTGCAAATTTTAATTTTTTAATGTATGTTTAATGAATGTGTGTCTTTTAGGCATTATATTTTAGCTTAACCGATTCTTTTGTAAGACTTTACAGTAATGTTTTTCCTGAGTCCAGTGGAGACAAATGGGAGTTAGGACAACTGCTGAGAGTGAGACCGTGTGACGGGAATCAGCGTGTTATTACCCTGCTGTTGTAATAATACTCTTGACACTTACCAATGTCCCCAAATTTCTTTTCTTTTTTCATTATATTTTATTTTTGGTGATTTATACATAGTTGATTAGGGTATGAAGGGTCAAGGGCTAGAGGAAAGTGGGTGAGACCATTGTTTCCACATTGTCTTTTTTCTTTCCTGTATCTGGGGGAAGGGGAAAGGTAAGGGGAGAAGCCACACCCAGCCTTCCAACCGCCTCCATTCCTTCAGATGGGGGACAGCCACTCAATGCCATCCCAGGGTCCCTGATGTGAGACATGCTCCAAGGGTCTCGCTCAAGTAGTTTTGATAGATCAACAGTTCTGAATTGCTGTCAATCTTGCCAGTCCCAGTACCACGAAATCTCTCCAGAATCCACTGGCTGATATTATAGTCCACCTTAGAGTTTCTGTTTGCCCAGATAGCCACTGCCAACATGTGGCTGGGGTAGTTGATCAGTTTGTTTCGTCCTCTGTCCTCTGTTATGGTACCAGGTGTCCTCTGCAGGCTCCAGAGGACATATCCTCTATGTGTATCTGGATATGCTGTCCACTGCTCCATCTAACCCACTGAAGAGGCCCAGCTCTGACACATGAACTCCACAGTCAGACCATGGAACCTGCCATTCTCTCCATGGTTGGAGTTCTGAGTTTAGCAGTGCAGCTGGGGGGATGCCAGAACTGATTCTTGTGTGCACTTGCCAATTCAGGGTCCAGTATAGTCTGTCACCAAATCAGCCTATACGCACACTGGTAGTTGCAATTTCTGTGTCAGTTCTGTCTCTAGCCTTGTCTTCTACACAAACCAGTAGATGTTACAGCCCAGCTAGATCCTGCCCACCACATACTCAGCCCTCACATATACAGCAGGAGCTTCAGTCTAGTTGGTGCGACCTCCTATGACCCCCACCAGGCCTGCATCCTGCCACGGTTCTTGTGCTTGCCAGTTTGTACAGTAGACTATCACGTCCCATTCAGCTCTTATACATGTCAACGGGCATTGAAGCTTAGTTCATCCCGACCAGCCCCACTATCCATCCCACACTGGTGCTGGTGGGTGCCACTTTCTGTCTAGCCATGCCTGCTCCTAGTGCTGGTTCTCATGCTCACCAGTGAGAGTGACAACCCAAGAGGGAGGTGCCCACTATTTCCCTAATGGGCCCACTCCCACTCCCGGATCTTATACTGTCTGAGTGGTTCTGTAGTTTAGCTTGACAGAATTTGCTCCAGTGCCAGCATCTGCCAACTGATGCTGCAGCAAAGCCTAATCAACCCACACCCACTCTGGCTTATGCATGCACCAGCAGATATAGTCAGCCCAGCCTGGTTTCCGCCAGATCCAGCTCATATGTAGGCCAACAGGTGTTGTAGCCCTGGCTGGCCTGGTCTGCCCCGAATCCCAGCTTTCACACTCACCTGTGGGAGTAATGGCCCAGCAGGGGAGCCCCCTGCAGCCCCCTACCAGTTTCATACTGCCACCTCCCCAGGTCTCACATGTGCTGATTGGGCACTGCACCCCAGTCTGGCATGGCCCTCCTCACCTTGGCATTTGCCAGTGGATACTATAGCCTGGCCTGGCCCAGCTCATCTCCAGTTCCAGCTCATGCTGGTGGGGGCTCAGCTGGACCACAGTCGCAGCCGTAATGTGAACTGGCTGGTATTATGGCCCGACCCAGTATGTCCAACACACCGTTCTGGTTCTCGGATCTGCCAGCAGGTGATATGAACTGGCTTGCCCCAGACCTGAGCCAAATGTATGCCAATGGGAACCATAACCTGTCCTGGAGTCAGCTGCTCCCTGTCTTGATTCCTGTGCTCACCTGCAGGAATTGTGTCCCAACAGAGGAGTTCCTCAAGCCCCTTCAGCAAAACCTCTCCCAATACCAGATCTTGCACACACCAGTGCTTCCATGGCCCAGCCCAACTTAGTCCACTTTCTGTCCTAGCAGGAACAGTGGCCTTTCCTGACCAGCCCACACCCATTCTGGTTCTTACTATTGGGTGTTAATAGCCCAGCCAAGCCTGGTCCACACCCAGACACAGCTCACACATGGCTCAACGGGGTTAGAGACCTAGCCCAGCCCGTTGTTACACCCACCATGATTCTCACAAACACGAGTGGGTACTGGAGTCTAGCCCAGTCTGGTGGACCCCAGACCCAGTCCACAGCCATGCCAGAGGACACTGCAGTCATGTCTAGACCAAATCAGAGCCCTCAATCCAGCCTCGCACTCACCAGTGGTAACCACAACCCAGCCAGGGAATCCTCTTAGCTCTTCAATCAAACCTGTTCCCAAACTCTGCTTCTGAGATCAGTGTATTTGGGTAAACTCAGAAGTTTCATTTGTGGCCTGGGTTCAGTGTCCTCTCAAGTCCATCTCCCCAACTTTCTTGAGAGGGAAGGAGAAAGTGAACTGGTGCTGTCATTCATGATAAACTTGCTAGGTGCCTGGTTCATGAGATCTCCCAGGAGATACACTATTATCAGTGGAAGACTTCGACTCAGTTCAGAAGACATTCATCAAGAACCTGTTACATGCAAGTAGGATGCATAAAAGCAGATACGTAACAGATGAAGGTGACAAATGTGAGCCTGTGTTCAAGATGTAACAGTGGACTTGGTCTTGGAGGTGGGGAATTAGAGGCAGTTCCCAGAGAATGGGTAGACATGAAGTCAGTCATGGGGAGGGAAGATGTTGCATCTGGAGGAGCAATCCAGCCAGAAGTGAGGAGGCAGTTTCATTTGTGGAAGATTCTGGAGCCAGCAGACAGCCATTTGGCTAGGAAAGAATGCTCACAGGGGACTAATGAAACTAAGGATAGAGTAAACTTGGAGTTGGATTATGGAAGACCTTGAACATCCAATAAAACAACTGCAGTCTAATCTCTTAGCTGTTAATAGGATCAGAGTTGTTTTTGTTTTGCTTTGTTACCAGTTTAAGACATAGCTAACACATCATAACACTCCAGAAACAAAAGATGCTCTTTGGCAGTGTGTATGTACTATGGACTGTGAACATGCATGTTTCATCAGAATAAACGTGTTGTCATTTGCTATTGTAGGTGCCTCCATCGCTCTGATGGACAAAGAAGGCCTCACGGCCCTCAGCTGGGCTTGTCTGAAGGGCCATCTCTCAGTGGTTCGTTCTCTAGTGGATAACGGAGCTGCCACAGACCATGCTGACAAGAATGGCCGCACGCCATTGGACCTGGCGGCTTTCTATGGTGATGCTGAGGTGGTGAGTATCTTTAAACAGGCCTTGAAGAGCAGAGATAGAGATACAGTATGTTCTCTGTCCATGACACTTTCTGGGCCTAAAGCCAGAGCCACATTATGATGATTCCTGGGACAAAGTGCTCAGATTCTACACTTGCTGCAGGGTGGAGCTATTCAAAACACTATGAAAACCCAAGGTACAGCTGTGGCCTGGAATCCCATGGCCACCTGGCCTGGCTCAGACATGAACAAGGGGCAGACAGTGGCGGAAGCATGCAGAGACACTCCACCTGTTAATTGCTCTACTTGATCCGTGTCCTAGGTCCAGTTCCTGGTGGATCATGGGGCCATGATTGAACATGTGGACTACAGCGGAATGCGCCCTTTGGATAGGGCAGTGGGCTGCCGGAACACTTCTGTGGTTGTCACTCTCCTGAAGAAAGGAGCCAAGATAGGTAGGAAACAGAGAGGTGGTATCAGCCATCTGTGCCCAGGGGCCAGACTGGCCCAGTGGTCTGGCTGCCCCAGGTGTTTGGTATGAGTATATCTGGTTTTCCCTCTGCCCTGGCCCAAATACTGTCCTAACAAACCAAAAGGCTCCTGCTCCAGAGACAGTACCATCTGAGCCCTGGCCCGCAGTCCCTATGCCGAGACCTGGGTCCTCTGCCATGCCCCGGTAGCCTTAGCCAGGAGGCCGCTCTGACCCACTGCACCTGTCCGCGCTGCCTCTGTGCCAGCCCTGCTCTCTGAGCACCCCTGAGTGCCCGCAGTGCCCTGAGCCGTTGCTTTCCCCTGCTCTGAATGTGCTTCCCACCCTGGCCCCGCTGCCCCGGCTGCTGCCCCATACCTCCTGTAGACAAGGGCTGGCTGACACGCCGCTGCCGCTGCCCCGGCTGCTCCCCACACCTGTAGACAAGGGCTGGCTGATAACGCTGGCTTTTCTGCTGCCTGCCTCTCACTGCTGCTTTTTCCTTCTTTTTTTTTTTTTTTTTTTTCACCGTCATCCATATTTTTTTTTCCTCTCCTACAACTTTTTGTTTTCTCCTTTCTTTGAAGGTTGTCAGACGTTACCGAGTCGCCCACGAGGTATATTTCACCGCTGTCAGCATCAGGCGTGGTCTGATGGCTTGGTCAGCTTTGCCTTCTCTTTGATTTAGCCTGCATGAGCCCCCTCCACCTCTAATCTTTTAATTTACTTCACCTTAAAAGAAGATTTTTTTTTAATGACTGTTGTAGAGAATAACTTGAACTTTTGATAACTAACCCTGAAAAGCTTAGTTGGTAAATAATCCAGGTATGAAAAAACTAATCAGTTTAACCTTTTCTTTCCTCCTGTGGGTAACGTGGTGCTCACTAGTGTTGGTTTGTTTCACATCTGTTTGGCATTCAAACCGCTCCTTGCTCAAAGTGAATCACAAGACTCCTATTTGGCACCTAAGAATCTACCGGAACCTCCACGGTTACTACTGGCCTTCTTTCCACAAAGCACGTACTTAAAAATGAAGATGCTAAACATCTGGGTATTTTGAGTCCAGATCTAAACTAATCACCTTTTTGGATTTTTCAAATCCTGTGCTAACGTTTACAATAAACCCCTCCTCCCAGGTTTCCTTGTGTCATGAAGCCAGGGCCTGCCTACACACAGCAGTGCAAGCTCTGCTGCCCTCCTGTGGTGTAGGCCCAAACAGTTGAGAGACTCTTATTTTAAGGTGAATACAAATCCTACGCAGCTTCTTGGCAGTGGGAGTCCCCAAAGCACTCCCGAGTCTAAAAGATGAGGTCATTGTTGTAGAGCAAGTTGTTCTCTCAGCAGAAATTCCCCCAGGATGTTTTTTTCACCTAACTTCCTACCACCCTTACATTGTATGAGTTTTTTACCCATCATGCATCCTGTACACTACAGGTCCAGCCACATGGGCGATGGCCACCTCCAAACCAGACATCATGATCATCCTGTTGAGCAAGCTGATGGAAGAGGGTGACATGTTTTATAAGGTGAGGGGAGGGAGGAATAAAATTTCCTTATAATAGCCACTGTATCTGCATGCAGAACCTTCCAGAGTCTTGACTTTTCTCATCAAAGTTGGACATCCTGAGTCTTCGATGATCCAATAAGAGAGTGCAAGTAACCTAAACATACACCTGTAGATGCTCACATTAAAGCCCTAGTTTTATGGTCATTAACACACATCTACTAAGTGAGATCTGGAAATTCATGAAACAATAGTTGTATGTAACATAGCTGTTTCCAGTCTATTGGTCCTAGCCTTCATATTTATACAGGTTTAAAATCCTAAAGCTCTACTAGCTTATCAGCATCCTTGATAAGAAAGAGAAACCAAGACAAACAGCAGTTTTAAGTTTGCTTGAAGTCACTTCTTGAATGATATCAGAAAGAATGTGGAGTTTACACTCAGAATTCAAGCTAAAGGCTATATACCTTTATACAGACAAGTTGCCATGACCTGTGGGAAGTTCCTCGGGAACTTTATGTCCAGTTTATCTCACTGGCCTTACATTGGCTGGGCCATCCTCTCCTGAAGGTGAATATGAGTCCAACCCAGATTTTAATAACAGGCATCACTGAAACATTCCATGACTAAAACATGAGAAAATGATTGTGACATCTGTAATGCCCTCAGGCGGCAGTCTTCCAGTTCACCAGAATGCCAGTTGAATGAGAATCTTGGCAATCTAAACTTTACAGGCTTTCCAAAAACTTGAGCCCCACTCAATCTTAGTTCCACATGACCCAGCAGGTCATCCTGCTTGGGATGCCTGCAGTCAGCAAGCTAGTTGAAATTCTAACATCACCCCTTGTAAAACAGCTTCCTTGCTAATCACTCTGGAAGACAACAGAAAGTGACTCAGGTGTTTGGGTCCCTGCCACTTACATGGGGAGTCTTGGATGGAGTCCGTCGATCCCGGCTTCAGTCTGCTCCAGCCCTGACTGTTGCAGGCATTTGGGGAAACCAGCAGATAGAAGTCCTTTTTCCCTCTCCCTTTGGTATTCCAAGACAAGGAGGCCTATCACCTAATGACAATAGGCAGAACTTCCGTTGTACCCATCCAGAAGTTTTCCTTCGAAAACTCTGAAAATTTCCTCAGTTAAAGGTGCTAAAGGGAAGATAAAAACTAGGATCCCACTGGAGTTGCAACTATACAGAAGAAACACAATGGATAAAGATGAGCTACTTGCTGTGGCTTTCTGGGCTCAGCTTACACATTTGCAGATGCATTTGCAAAATGTAGGAAAAGTTCAAAGCTGGGCCCCTGGGACCAGGTCCCTATGCTGGTCATAGATTTACTTCCTCTTGGAAAATGCCTCCTACAAAGACAGGTGAAATAAAAATTCTAAGATTCACTTCCCTACTACCACCCACCCTATCCCTTCTCCAAAAATACATGGGGAAATGGATTGATAATTATTGAGATTAAAGAAACAACAGCCTGACTGTTGGGGCTCCCACATCCTTTATGAGGAAGAGAATAGCCTCTTATACAAGACATGGGAGGTGAAGCATCATTTAAGAAAAAAGCACTTCAGATAAATCTTTAAGAAAAAAACACTCCAGGCAAGTCAGAAATTAAGGAAGAAGTCATTCATTTGGGGGTGCTTGGGACTAGGAAATTGTATGTGTCCCAGGAGGATCAATTCAGGAAAAATTAACTTTAAGGGGTCAGTTGTGGTGCTGGGAGTTAGGCTATGGTGTGCAATGCTGACATTCCATATAGCTGGCGTGAGTCCCAGCTACTTTATCTCCAAGCCAGTCCCCTACCAGTGCACCTGGGAGGGCAGCAGGTGACTCCAGCGCTTGCACCCCGAGGATGGAGATTCTGGGTTTGGCCTAGACCAGCCCAGTCATTGTGACCATTTCAGGAGTGAACCAGCTCACTTGGGGTGTGTGTGTGTGTGTGTGTGTGTGTAATTCTGCCTTTCAAATAAACAAATCTTAAAGAAAAATGAAATGAGGAAGGTGAGTCCTTTCTCTTGGAGGACTTGGGAAGCTGCGGTCAGGGCCTTTCATGTGTTCCAGCTCATGTCCTGTGTGTCCCCTTTGACACTGCCCTCCTGCCAAGTAAGTTTCCCATAGAGAAGAGTGCGCTCTCTTGCTCTCACAGTCAGGGCCAGCCTGTGTCCTTAGATTGGCATATGGGAAGGTTAACCTTCATAACAACCGCTTAGAGGAGGAAGGGAGTAGGGACCGAACTTCCAAGCTGTCCAGCAGACCAACGGTGTGTTTTGCCATCTTGTACTTCCATTAGAAAGGTAAAGTAAAGGAAGCTGCCCAGCGATACCAGTACGCGCTGAAGAAGTTCCCCAGAGAAGGGTTTGGTGAGGACTTGAAAACCTTCCGGGAGCTAAAGGTGTCTCTCCTTCTCAACCTCTCTCGATGCCGCAGGAAAATGAACGTAAGTCCCTCTCGCGCCGCCTCACTTCTGCAGCTCTGCAAGCTGGCAGTCTGTCTTACCCCCTGGCTTCTGCCAGACCCCTGATCTCCTCTGGACCATTTGGAACCTGGTTGTCCTTCACAGAGCGCTGACATTTACAATTTGAAAGAAATCGAGTCTAAGTAGAATCTGTATCTTAAACTTAAAAAAAAAATTATACCATGAGTCATTTGTAGCTGTCTGAAATTTCATAATTTCTACTGAAAGTGCCTGGAGTGACAACTCCATCCCGCCCCACTATAGAAAGGTTTCAGTCTGTGGGACAGTGTGGGGGCGTGATCACGGGGAGCCAGCTGTCATCAGCGTGCTTTGTAACCCTCCCTTCGTCCCCCAGTCTACTCCCTGGGCATTTCAGGATGGGCTGCAAAGGGGGCTCAGGACCATGGACTTCAAGGTTTAACTTTTAAATCCAGCCTTGACCTTTTCACCTCTTTCCTCATCCTGTTATTCCAGCAAGCCACATCCCTTCCTGTCCTAGAATATTTCTTGGCCCTTTATGATCTCCCTGATAGTCCTCAATCCTTCTTGCCTGCCAGGCAGATACCCAGATCTTGAAGACCCTCTGCCACTGCCCCCTTGACATGCAGACCCTCCCAAGCCATGAAGCCTCTCCTAGATGCCAAGAGCTGCTGAAATCACACCAGGGATCCCAGGTGCCAGCCAGCCTGGCTCACAGGTGCAGCCTGAACCAAACAGGACTCTGTATCCATCGGAAACAGCTGGCAAGCAGTCAGCTGTCAATTCCAGAAAGATGATTAGTGAATACAGCCCTACATGAACCGTCCCAGCCCCTGAAACCTGGCAATGAAGAAAGCTTCCGTGGTGGACCTAGACCCTGTGGTCTCCAAGACCACAGCTGTAGCTGAGAGACAGGCTTGCCCCAAGAGGATGCTTCCGGAGAGATGAGGGGAGTGGCTCTGAGGGCAGGGAGGTTCCCCAGCCTGTGACTTCTCTTAAGAACCACAGCCTCAGCACCAGGTGTCTCCCCGGGCACTGGCTCGGGAGAATGCAGCAAGGCCCTTCTTTCCCTAAGCAAATGATCTACTTCTTCAAAATATACTGAGTCTGTCTTCTTCCACAGGAAATCGCCCTGTGGAAGTGTTCTTTTTATCAATTTCCCCAGGCCTCTGTACTGCCTACAGCCTTGTTCTCTGCCTTAGGAATCGTGATTGTAATCAGAGGCTATCATGCTGCATTTGACATTAAAGAGACAACTTCCCCCTTTTTCTTGGTATTTAAAGGGATCTTAAAAACTCCAGTCCAGAAGCCAGTCTTAAGGCACATCAGATTAAGCCACTGTTTGCAATGCCAGCATCCCATACAGGCACCAGTTTGAATCCCAGCTGCCCCCCTTCCAATCTAGCTCCTGTCTGATGTGCCTGGAAAAGCAGCCGAAGATGGATCCTGAGCCCCTGGCATGCATGTGGGAGACCCTGATGGAGTTCCAGGTTCCTAGCTTCAGTCTGGCCAGCCCTGGCTATAGTGGTCATTTGGGGAATGAACCAGCAAATAGAACAACTCTCTCTCACTCTCTCTCTTCCTCTGTCTCTCTAACTCTGCCTTTCAAATAAATAAATCTTTAAAAAGAACAAAACCTGGTCCCTGGTCCTAGGGTTCTCAGAGTGCAGATACAGGACCCTAAGGCCACATTCTTCCAGGCAGTGATGGCCCCTGTCACAGTGAGAGGCCTCTCATAATCAGTTCAAGTGTTTCCTAGGCGAGTGAACAGTTAGGAGGAGGAACAGGCCAGAGAAGGAGACCACAACATATGGAGCATCTTCCCAGGTCTCGAGAGTTCGTGTTATCGTGTAAATGCTTTGTCATGCCTAAGTACCCAGCACACTCCAAGGAGTGGGGAAGTAGGCAAAGTGGAACCCAAACCTCACAGCCCCACTGCCTCTGGTCTCCATAGTGCGTGCAATTCTCCCTAATGCCCCGTCTGCCTTAATTCCTGGCACACATTCCCAATCATCCCTTAGAAAGTCAGGATCTGATATACACAGCAGGATGTGGGACTCAGGTAAAGGACACATGAGGTGGCAGTGTGTTTGCATCTGCTCCTGCATGTGTGTGTGCGTTGCTGGAGCTGAGGTTTTCAGCTTCACTGTCAAAGGTTGGAATTTGACTTCTGACCCAAAAAGAACGTTACTAGAAAGGCAGAGCGTAACGTAGCCTGGGCAGCAGAAGTCCAGTCCATGGCTGCAGAGCCAAGGAAGAAGGAACCTGAAGTGTGGGCCGCATGCCCGGAGCCCTGTCAGGCACGTCCAGTCCCAGGGGTTCCCTCCATTCATGCCACAGGAATGTACGTGTAAGTTGTTTGTATTCCCTAGTTGTCTACTTTGTGTATTTCTTCAATGACTCATCTGCATACCCATTGTAATGACAGGATTTTGGAATGGCGGAGGAATTTGCTACTAAGGCCCTGGAGCTGAAACCGAAATCTTACGAAGCTCACTATGCAAGAGCAAGGGCCAAACGCAGCAGCAGGTGAGGAGAGAGAGAGAGAGGGTGAGGAGCGAGAGGTCTCTTTGCCACGCATCTGGCCGAGGATATGTCAGCCACTGTGGGGCATGAGTGCCCGGTGTCCCTGTGTTGGAGGACTCTGAGGGCCAGGCTTGGGATGGCTTCCATAGCACAGAACTCAGCCAAAGATGGGCAGAGCTCCTAAGCTCTGGGAGAAAGCATTTTCCTTCAAGAGAAAAGCACCCGGTTACATGTTGGAGAAGGGCACCTACTTCCGAGCGGCTTCTGCCACATGTCAGTCACTTTTCGACTTCCAAAGCAGTTGAAAGTTGGTGACTGCCAGAGGCCATTTAATCAAAACGACCTTCAGATTTTTGAAGGCGAAAGGTAGGGTGAGTCGCTTACCATCCCCGACCCTCCTCATTACAAGCATTTGGGGAATCCCTGGATTGTTTAATCTCCCTCTGGGGCTCTCAAGTCTGGTGGCATCAAACCTCCCTCCCACCCAGACCCCCAGCAACCCACACAAACATACATACATGCACACATAGACACACAGAGACACACACATGTAGAAAAAAGATCCTTGTTTCAAGTCTGAAGGGGCCAGGGGACCTCATGCCCACTTGCTGTCATTTGGCCACTGAGCAGGAAAATCTCCAGAAGGACCTATAACCTGCCTGCAGGGAGCTGTGGGTAACTCACGGTTACTCAGCATCTTGCCTTCTCCCCAACTCCTCCTAGGAAAGACCTGACACTCACTGAGGAGAAACGGCCGTGAAAATCCAACCCAGGTGGAAATCAGAGATAGTAGTGACAGTGCCAGTAGCCTTACTCAGCCAGGGTAACAAAGGGTTTATGAAATCTTCACTCTCAAATTCTCTTTCCCTCTGGGTTGTTCCTCTCCAACAAGACCTCCTTTCCAGGCAGGGTTAGAAGGGAAGATGGAAGACCTCCAACAATCACCCCTGTTGACACGAATCCTGTTGGGGTCTGCTGGGCCCCTTGCCTGAGCTGCTTGTCAGCAAGCCTCATACCCACCCTGTAAGGACTGGAGCCAGCAGCGCAGAAGGGGGCGGGGCAGGAAGGGCAGAGGACAGGGTTCTGGCCTAGGATGGAATAAGCCTGAAATCTAGAATGAAACAATTGAGGATCTGAAGAAATCCTCCTGCTAAATGAGCAAGATTTTATAAAATACTGTAGTTAACTGTGTTGTTCCTCAGCCACTTGACAGTGACCCTGTAAATGACAACCCCACCCAACCTCCATACTAGTAATAGAATCTTCCAGAAGGGCCTAGCTGGGCTGACTCACTAAGGGCTTCTGTCCACTGATGCCAGAGAGGCCAGAAGGAAAGAGGCTGAATGGGAGTCCCACTGGCCTCTCCTAGTTCTTTCCTTCCTTAACGTAAGGAAGCCATCACACCCAACTCCCACAGATGCTACCTCAGTTTTCCGGAGTAGTGACCATATTCTCAGCTCTTTGGGATTCCCGTGATTCAGAATAACTCCAGCTGCTGTGTTTCCATTTTATCGAGCAGACAGTTTGCAGCAGCCTTAGAGGACCTGAATGAGGCCATCAAGCTGTGTCCTAACAACCGTGAGATCCAGAGGCTCCTGATGAGAGTGGAGGAGGAGTGCAGACAGATGCAGCAGCAGCAGCAGCAGCCGCCACCGCCGCCATCCCCACCACAGCCGCAGCCGCAGCCGCTACCAGAGGAAGCAGAGTCCGAACCGCTGCATGAGGATATATACTTTGTGCAAGACATATTCGAGGAGGAGTACCTGGGACAGGATGTGGAAAATGTTTCCATCGGCCTCCAGACAGAGGCACGGCCCAGCCAGGGGCTCCCCATAATCCAGAGCCCCCCCTCCTCTCCGGCTCCCCGGGACTCAGCGTACATCTCCAGCTCACCTCTTGGCTCACATCAGGTTTTTGACTTCCGATCCAACAGTTCCGTAGGCTCTCCCACTAGACAAGGCTGTCAGGCCACTTCACCTGCTCTGTCTCCGACTCACCAGAACTCTCATTACAGGCCTAGTCCACCACATACCTCCCCAGCTCATCAGGGGGCATCTTACCGTTTCAGCCCTCCTCCAGTGGGGGGACAGGGCAAAGAATATCCAAGTCCGCCCCCCTCCCCACTCCGGAGAGGCCCTCAGTACCGGGCAAGCCCTCCAGCCGAAAGCATGAGTGTCTATCGGTCCCAGTCTGGCTCTCCTGTGCGCTATCAGCAAGAAACCAGCGTTAGTCAGATTCCCGGCAGACCCAAATCTCCATTATCCAAAATGGCCCAGCGACCCTACCAGATGCCTCCGCTGCCTGTGGCCGTTCCCCAGCAAGGGCTCAGGCTACAGCCTGCCAAGGCCCAGATCGTGAGAAGCAACCAGCCCAGCTCAGCCGTCCACTCCAGCACGGTCATCCCCACAGGCGCCTATGGCCAAGTAGCCCACTCCATGGCTAGTAAATACCCGTCTTCCCAAGGAGACATGGGAGTGAGTCAGAGCCGATTGGTTTATCAAGGGTCCATCGGAGGGATTGTAGGGGACGGGAGACCCGTGCAGCATGTCCAGGCCAGCTTGAGTGCTGGTGCCATCTGTCAGCACGGCGGGTTGACCAAGGAAGATCTTCCCCAGCGACCTTCCTCAGCATATCGAGGTGGCATGAGATACAGCCAGACGCCACAGATCGGGCGCAGCCAGTCAGCATCCTATTACCCAGTGTGTCACTCAAAGCTAGATCTAGAACGTTCCTCCAGCCAACTGGGCTCCCCCGATGTGTCGCATTTAATAAGAAGACCCATGAGTGTCAATCCCAATGAAATCAAACCCCACCCACCGACTCCCAGGCCGCTGCTGCACTCCCAGAGCGTCGGCCTGCGCTTCTCCCCTTCCAGCAACAGCATCTCCTCCGCCTCCAACCTGACTCCCACCTTCCGGCCGGCCGCCTCCATCCAGCAAATGGAGATCCCGCTGAAACCGGCCTATGATAGGTCATGTGATGAGCTGTCACCCGTGTCTCCCACCCAGGCAGGCTACCCCAGTGAACCCACCCGCTCCAGGACCACACCATTCATGGGGATCATAGATAAAACAGCCCGGACTCAACAGTACCCCCACCTCCACCAGCAGAATCGGACCTGGGCAGTATCATCGGTGGATACCGTCCTCAGCCCCACGTCTCCAGGCGGCCTGCCTCAGCCCGAGTCCTTCAGCCCCCCTTCATCTATCAGCAACATTGCCTTTTATAACAAAACCAACAACGCACAGAATGGCCATCTGCTGGAGGACGACTATTACAGCCCCCACGGGATGCTGGCCAACGGCTCCCGGGGAGACCTCTTAGAGAGAGTCAGCCAAGCTGCCTCGTACCCCGACGTGAAGGTGGCTCGGACCCTGCCCGTGGCTCAGGCTTACCAGGACAACCTGTACAGGCAGCTGTCCCGGGACTCTCGGCAGGGGCAGACATCACCCATCAAACCAAAGAGACCATTTGTGGAGTCTAATGTTTAAAGACATCTGTAGGAGTGAGACCCGTACGTGTTCACTGCACATTTTCAGGCTTGGTTTCCACATTTCCGGTAGTTCCCTGGCTTAATTTCTCATAAAGTTCCTGTGTGGTGTTTCAGAGGCGGCAGCCCACGGGCGGAAACCCCTTGCATGCAGCCGACCAGGAAGCTAGCCTCCAGGGCCCGGGACTTTGGTTTCTCCTGTCTGTGCCCCAGCCACGTGCTCTCTCCCTCTCCTCGGATGAGGAGCAGGTTCCTGTGCTGTGTGCTTTAACCCAGGGAGATCAGACACACTGGTCGTCAGCTTTTCCAGGAGACAATCGCTTTCACTGATGTTCTTGTTGTATAAATGTCTTTTTTCCTTTTTTTTTTTTTTTTTAATGAGATGTTCTTGTTTGTTTTCTCCTAGGAACTTTAGAAAGAGTGTTATACCCCCTTTGCCTTTGCATTCCTATCCAGTGTTACCCGCTAGCCAGGCCCAGGGCACCCCCCGCCATCGTCTCCTTCCCCCAACCACCAGCTCCCTGCAGTCGCCAGGTCTAGAATGTTCACGTGGATTATTACTGGTCTTCTCATGGAAGTAAAAAAAGAATCAAGGAGACAGAAAAATAAGAAATGAATCTGTTAAATTAGTAGAAAAACTCAGTATACTTGTTAGGACTATCATTCCATTGATTTTTTTTCCAAGAAGCATTCTAGCAACACGAGGAAAACAGTCAGCCACTTAAATGTATCAGCCGGCCAAGCAGAGGAGCGCTGTGGACACGTCTTAAAAACTCTCTGAGACTTACTCTCTAGCAGTTTTGCCAACGGTCAACCACTAAAAGCTACTGATTTTCCAGGGGTAGGGGTGGGAAACCAAGGACGCAGCCCTCAGTGCCCTGGTCTGTAAGGATCAGCCTTCCTGTGGGCCGCTGCTGTGCCAGTGCTGCCAGCGGGGCTGCCTCTGAGCCTCCTGGGCCTCTTCTGTAAAGCCTCAGTCAAGTGGTGAAGAACAGTGGCCAACTGGATTCCTGGGGACTGCTGGACTCCCAGGCCCCAGCCAGGGCCCTCGCTCTTCCTTGCCAGTTGCTGTCCACTGCTTTGGTAGATCAATGGCTCCATTACTATTACAGGAATTGTTCTAGAAGTATATGGGGAGGGTGCTAGGCAAAGAGTTTCTGAGTGAAGAAAGACCTGTGTCACAGAGAGGGGCCCTAAACAGCAGGTTCTGAGCCTGTCACTTGTGTATACCTTGTACGTCCTGTGGTCCTTGGCACATCTGACCTTGGAGGACTTAGATGCAGGGAAGTGAGTGGGGAGAACCCTGAACTCCTATAGCTTGGCACAGAATTGGCACTTCCTGCACAGCTCAGCCCAGCTAGCTAGCCAGAGGTGCCCCGGTTCTAGGATCACCTGCTATTGTTAACCAAGGGCCCTGAGGGAAGTTACATCCCTAACAACCCAGCTGCGACCAGACCTGGGAGTGTCCCCTAAAAGGGCCACAAGGACATGGGAGCACAGAGCTCAGAGGAGCCAGGCAGATGGGTGCTTCTCCACCCTCCCCGTACCCCCAGCCCAGAACTTGTCTTCTGTGCTGAAAGCAAGCAGCTGGGCCAAGCCAGGACCCACACGCTGCTCTCACTAGTGCTTGAGGACCACCTCCTGCTCAGCCGGACCAGGGCGGCGGTGCCCTCCTTCCATCTCTTTCCCTCCCCTTCTCCGTCTTCCCCCTCCACACCAGGAAGGTTAACTTCCCTGTAGCCTCAGCCTTCAGCCACATCAGCAGCCTCAGCTCTTTGCAGACCAAGTTCCAGTTCTGTTGGTCTCTGCATCTGATCTGCTGAGGAGCTGCCACATCCCAAGGAATTTCTCTGCCTGGTTAGGAAAGTGTCCCTGCTTGTGCGGAAGGCCACATGCACCACCTGCTCACACCTGCTGGGGGCAGCACACAGGTCCTGCAGTTTTACAAACCAGTGATCCCACCAATCCCCAGGGTATTTCCATTTTCCCAAACAAGGACCTGCACCCCGTTGGGCAAAACGCCTAACCTGTCAGTCACCAGTCAGAATCAGTTCTTTGTTTAGCCATTGTGAGAGGAAGCGACTCTGTCACCAGGACACCCATCGTTGTGACTTAGAAAATGCCACCAGGGGCTTGCTGGGGCAGGAGACACAACTTCCCTCTCAGTAGATGCCGCACCCTGTTTCGCTACTTCACTGCCAAGGAACCAGCCTAGTACTGTGTCTTCAGGATGCTCCTTCCCCAGCGACAGCACCTGCAGCACCACTGTCCGGCTTCAGGTAGGGGGACCTGTCACTTACCCACTTCCTATCACCCTGGGATGGAGACAGAGGGGACGGACTTTGAGCTGACAGGGCTTTCACCACTGTATGTTCCCTTGGCCCAGAATTCTTGCACTACTGGATTCCCACCACGTTATGTCTATAAATGGGTGCACTTTACTGTTTGAATCTGTAACTGATAAATACTGGATATTTAAGTGTGAGTAATGTCTTCATTAGAAAATAGCAAGGTTGCTCTTGTCTTTTAGTGTATTTTTCAAGGAAAGAAAAAAACAAGGAAAAGGAAGAAATCAAGCAGTGGATCACAACATTTGTAGCACAAGATAGACTGTTGTATATAAGCATCAAAAAGATTAAGAATTTTTAAATACAAAGAAAAAACTATTTGAAGTGATTTTAAAGTGCTTTTCCAGCAGTTTTCTTAGGGACTCCTGAGAATAGTTAACTTTATTTACTGGATCAGTAAGGCACACAATTAACAATTAAAAATCAATGTTTATTTACAAAGTAAAGGGGAAAAAAAAAAAGCCTGTGTCACATGAGAATCTGGCATGGACAAAATGGAGACCACTCTGTCTGCTCCTGTGTCCGGGTGGCAGGCGTGCACTGCTCAAGGCCCGAGGTCACAGGGTACAAGCCCTTCTCGCTCCCGCCCCACAGCACCCTTTCCAGATGGGCTGCACTTGAACGCAATGGCTCAGGAAAACTCCAGGAGTTGGAATCGTGTACAGAACCCCCAGGGTATCGCCCACACACACGAGTTGGCTAACTTAGTTACGCCTGGATGATTCAACACTTTTCCTAAATTATTGTAAACAGAACAGCTTAGGGAAAAGTATTCTCAGTCCTTATATTGTACAGTAGTTTGTGAACCCCTCTCTAAATATTGGTATTTTTATATTCCAGAGATGTACCCAATAGAGAAATTAAAAGTTAACCAGTATCTACTTTAATATCCATAAGTATTTTTCCTTAGACTTTAGTCACCCACAGTGGGCGGGGTGGGGGGGGTTGTGGACGTCACTTGTACTTCACCGTACTGTACCACTAGGTGTCACTGTGGCTCTGCATCACCCTTGTCTGGGCGCAAGGATGGCAGTGTCTCCCAGCTGCAGCTGCTGGCAGGGCGGCAGGCAAGCGCACAGGTTTCTAGGTTCAGGAAAGGGAAACCCAGGCCTGGGAGGAGTCTTTGTGCCTCTGTGCCAGCCGTGGCAGGACAAGGTCTGTGAACACTCTGCTCTGGACGGGCAGCCAGGCAGAGACCGGGAGAAGGTTGAAGCAGGACCCCCACCCCCCCTTGCTCTGGTGGCTGATGGCTGTGTAAGGGACCCTCGCTGCCCCAAGAACATCTCTCTTCTCAGTTCCTCTCCTCTGATTCTCACACTGCAGGTGTCACAGCTGGGTGTTTGATTCAAAGATAGTTATTTTTCTACTGCAGAAATGCCTTGGACAAAACCAGTTGCTCACTGAATCTGCCACAGAATGGGCAGGCTCGCCCCCTTCCCCCGAGGGGGGGGGCAGGGTGTGCCCAGGCTCCTGGTGAGGCTTCCAGATTGCCACAGCCTCGCCCACCCTGCCAGCATGTCCTCGGGCCACCCACTTCTCCAGAAACCACCTGCAGAGGCAGCCTGCCGCTGCCGCCACCCCAGGCCTGCCGCCCACCCTGTTGAATGCCCCCGGGAAGGGGTAGCTTTCTGCTCCCTTTCCTCTAGGAATTCCAGACCCACCATCTGCCATGACTAACAACAACGAACCAAGGGCTTAGGGGTAAGCGCTACCTACAAAGACGTGTCATGGAAACCTTCACCATGCAATGCCTTGAACTCAGCTCTGGCTGCTCCCAAGAAGAGGTGGCTGGCTGGGGGCCTGGACACAAGCACAAGGGGGCCGTGGAGCCGCTGTGCAGAGCTACTTGAATCACCCCTGGGTCTTCATCCACTCCTTTTATAACAGACCACTCAAGGGCTGAAGCGTTGCTGACCTTCCTTTTGGTGTCCTATGCCTCGCGGCAGCTGAGCCACCCCAAGATGTCATGGCCACACGATGGCCACAGAGCTGCGAAAGTCAGTACCAAATGAATGCATAATTGGACACCAAAAATCAAGTGTTACTTCCATGTCTCCTCACCCCTTCATCTCATTTCCTCCTGCTGACTGATGCCTCCACCAGGCTGAGCTGCCAGGCCACAGCCGAATGCTGGCACTCCTCCCCGCTCCACCCCACACACCCTCCATAGACCTACTCTGTGGAAAGGAAGTGGCCCAGCTGCTTTGTTTTTGTAGCATTTGCTGGCTGGGTTTTTCTTTTGCTAATCACTAACCAGAAAAATCTGGCTAGGGGAACTTACTCCCTTTGGTCTCCAGGACCAGAGAGTTAATTCTGGAATATTCAGTACTTGAATGTACCTGCCTTATTGTGTATCAATTTACGGGAGAGAAGTAGAAGAGAGAGATGCTGGCTCCAGATCTCCATCCGAGATTCTTTTTGGAAATCCTGTATGTTACACTTCCTGTTCTGTGCCCCTCACCCCCTGCCCCCCATCTCTGGCTGAGGCCTGCGCACGCGGCCAGTTCCCTGTGAGGCTCAGGGCGGGTCCGCCGGCAGGCAAGACCTCCTTGCTGTCCAGCCCAGTGTCTTCGTCTCTGTCCCGTCTCCTCCAAATCCAAGCTGATTTTAATTAGTACAGACATGTACAGTCTACAATTAAAGAGTGATTTGTACTAATAGGATTTTGATTCTTCCTCTTTGCTGTCCTTTCAAGACACTTGCTGGAAAAAGCTTTAATGCACTTAGTTCTGCTGTAGGTTTTCTATCGCTCCGATGTAAAGGCCTCCCTGTACAGGATATTATCCGATGCATGTTTGTTCTCTCTCCTGCTATATCGACCACCACACAGTTGTGAACTCGTGCCGTGGGGATGCCCCGTGCCCAGCAGAGGCATCGAAGTCCCCCATGAACCAGGAAAGACGCAATCCTTTGCTGTACTTGCTTGAGCAGTTTTCTTGTCTGTACACGTGAGCTGTGTGAGATAGATGTGAAAAGTTCAAACGAATGCATTCCCCCGCCCCGTGTACCAGGTTGTCCTCTGTACAGTGAGCTGTATGTATGAAAGCAAATGTACTTATTTATAAAGGCTTAACACTTGGAAAACACGGCCTCCGGGTGCTTTCTCCTCAGCCGCTTGCCCTCTGGCAGCAGGGGGCCCGCCCAGAGTTCACCCATGGCAGCGTCAAGGACCCATGTCCAAGCAAGAGTGTGGCTGGTGAAGGCCAAGGCGATTTCCAGAGATGAGGGCTGTGTGTTTGGGTGCATCCGAGCCGGACCCCGTGCTGGGCCCCCAGCAGAGAAGCAGCCTCGGCTGGAGGAGGGGGCTTTGTGCCAGCTGGGCCTTTCTGAAAGCTGAAGCTGCACCTCAAGCCAGCCACCCAGTGGCCGCCAGCTCTAGGGGCTGCATGGCACCCTCGCCAGCACCCACAGGCTAAGGTGGCCACAGCTGGCCAGCCCCCTGCTTCCAGCGGCTTCATTTTTCTTTTCCCTCCTGAAGTCTGGCTGCACCTGCTGACCTCACCACATAGAAAGCCAGGCCGCTGTGGGAGCCCTGGACAGCTCACCAGCTTCCTAGAATGTTCCCTGAACCTGAACAAAAGGCCATTCAGAGTGGATGCAACAGTGAACTCTAAGTGTTGGTGTAGCCGCTGCTTCCACGCCCGTGCACTGCCCAGCCACACAGGGCCCGCCTCATTCAGCCTCACTCAGCTTCACGAACAGAAGCTGGGTGTCTGGAAGGCCCCAAAGGGAGAGAGCGCCAAGGTCAGGCTCGCAAAGTGCCACTGTGTCCCCCACACGACATAGGGACCGGGCAGTTGTGGTCTGTTGTGTTCCTCATGCTGACCTCTGCTGGTCCCAAGAATGTCACAGCAGCCCCTGACAGGGTCTGGGTCACGCAGGCAAGGCACCCCTGTCCTTTCTCCTGGGGGAAACACAGGATCCGATGGCAGGGTGCGTGGGCAGCAGGCAAGGGGCATTCGGCTGCACAGCCTTGGCCCCTCCTGAGAAGCAGGCCTGCCAGGGCCAGAAAGTGTGACTCCGAACAGGGCCTAAAGAAAGACCTCTGCACTCTGACATGGCCAAGACCACTGTAGCAAGTGGCAGCAAGCCAGCCCCAGGGTCCCTCTGGGGAGCGAGCAGCCTGTATGAGTGACCAGGTGCCTGCTCCCCCCTGAGCCCCACGGGAGATGCCTGCGGAACCTGGGCTGTCTTGGTGGCCTTGAGCTCCTGCCATGGGTCAGGAGGGTGTGCAGGCTCCTCAGGCCCAGAGCGCATGGGGCTCTCCGCTCTCAGTACTGCACCCTGCGGCAGAAGCCAAAGGAAGGGCCCACCTGCCGAAGGGGCCAGCCCAGTGGTCCCTCCTCCTGGGCCCACCCCACCCGCCCTGCCCCAGCAGGAGTGATGCGGGTTGTGTGTGTAATGCAGAGCACTTTGGCTTCTTCTGTTGCCCACTGGACAGCGCAGCCCAGAGGCCACGAGGGCGCTGACAGGGTCATGGAATGGACAAGCCACCACCACCCTGCTCTGGGCCTCTGTGGCTCCAACCACCTGCCAGGGCCTGGGGCCAGCCAACCCGCACAGCACCTCCAGGCCTGAGTGAGGGGGGCTGGCCGAGCACACCATCACCACACCGGACAGGTAGGTGTACCAGGGAGTGACGGGGCACGTGAGGCGACACCCAGGCCAGCCGGAAGGAGGGGGTGGCTGGACACAGCCACCTGCTCTGAGAAGGGACATCGCGGGGGACCGGGATGGGGGGCACGGAAAGGCCCGGGTGACACTGAAGAACTGAAGACCCTGGGCCGGCGAGCATGGCAGAAGATAGGGCGGCGTGAGAGGAGAATGGGACATCAAAGACTAGAGGAGGATTTAAAGACTGTATTGTTAGGTCAACCACACACACGGTCCTCATAGCGGGCGACACGAGACAGACGAGGGCGGGCGGTCACCAAACCGGGACGGGCAGGAGGGGCAGCCCGGCCAGCCAGCCACACCGTGCGGGGGACAGCGTGGCCCGGGCTGGGCCTGGCATCCCGCACGGCAGGACAGACGGGGAGGCAGCCAAAGCAGGAGGCCTGAGCACGGGGCCTCCCCGCACGTGGCCCAGGGCGCCCTGCGGGGTCCCCACCGCCTCGGACGGCAGTCCCTCTGTCCTGTTCCGCCCCCCAGAGCCACGCCGAGGTTCCGCTCTCCTGGGGTGCAGCTGCGGGGACCCAACCTCGCCGTGGGCCCAGGGCCAGGGATGGACCCAGTGCCCGGGATGGACCCAGTGCCCGAGATGGGCGCGGCCGGCCTGCGGGGAGCAAAGCAGAGGAAGCGAGCCCCAGAAAGGAGCGAGGCATCACTGGGAGCCGGGGCTGTCGCCCTCCGTCAGCGTCTTGAAGTCCATGGACAGCGCCTGCTCCTCAGCCCGGGCCGGCCGCTGCCAGGCGGCGCGCGTCAGGATGTAGAGCACGACGGCGGCGAAGCCGGCCAGCAGCAGGCCCAGCGCGTTGGCCAGGACGCCCTCGGGCACGAAGGCGCTGTACCGGGTCCTGGGGGGCGGCACGGGGGCAGTGAGGCCCCCCGCCCCAGCAGGCCTCGCCCGCGCCCTCCCGCCACCGCCGCCCGCTCACCCGAGCTCGAACAGCAGCGCCTCCTTCAGGCCCAGCAGGGCGGTGCCCACGGACAGGAGGAAGATGGCGGCGCCCAGGAAGACGTGCTGGGGGCGGTAGCGGCTCCGCAGGGAAAACGAAGCTCCCGGGAACAAGAAGAAGCCGAAGCCCACGAGCCACTGGCAGGGAAGAGGCCGGGCTGGGCAGCCGGAGGCCGCGGCCCCTTCGCTCGCCCACGCGCTCCCGCCGCGGGAACCGGGCTCAGCCCCTCACCCAGGCAGGGAGGCGGGAGGATGGCTGGCACCCACCCCTCGGGCGCAGTCAGGGAGCACCCCGGGCTGGCACCGGTTGGCAGGTGACGCGGACGGACTCACCTGCACCAGGTAAAGGATGAAGACGAGGAGGCCGCACCAGCTGTGCAGGCTGTACAGGTCCTGGTAGCCCTTCTTCTTGTGGTAGTCAAACACGGCCACCAAGCCTGGCCCAGATGCGTGGCCATGAGGACAGGGCTTGCCCCGGGAAGAGGAGGGGGCGTCCCCAGGGAGGGAGAGGTCCGGGGAGAGCGGGACTGGGGAAGGGGCATCCTGGGCCCGGAACTCACCCACCAGCGCGATGACGAACGCAAAGACATGCAGCAGCCCGTGCACGATCTTGGTGGTGCGTTTGGGCTCCTTCCTGAAGACGCGGTAGACCAGCAGGGCTGGGGAAGGGGGGACGGGGGTTAGCACATAGACAGGCCGGGCCTTCGCAGGGTACTCCAGCCCCAGGATTGGAAGGGTGGCCCCAGCAGGCCTGCCTGCCCCCACAGTTGGCACCCCAGTGAGGTGGCAATGGGAGGCAGTCTGGAAGCCCCACCGCGTCCCTCTTCCCCTAAGCTGTCCTGTGGACTGGAGGCTGCGTTCAGGGTCCAGTGGTGGGCAGGGAGTGCCAGCTGCTGACTCACCTGGCAGCTAGCTGTCTTCCTCAGACAGACCCACATGGAAGGCAGCTCAGAGATCCTGATCCGCCCACCACACACACACATACACACCCCTCTAGTGTCTGGCTGCGGGTGCAGGGGCCCAGATGTGGATCCTGCCTCCCAGGCTCTAGCCCAGCTTCCTCTTCTGCCTTTTCTGGCATCTCAGGTCTGCCCTGTCAGCTGCCCCGACCCCTTGCCATGCCCACCCCCAGCCTCGGCACTCACCATCTCCCTGCAGGAAGATGAGGCCTATGACCATGCACAGGGGGTGCACGTTGAACTGCAGGGCGCTCTCCCAGGCAATGCCGCCTCGGTACACGCCCAGCCACGCACCAGTCATGGCCACCACGCTCAGGCCCAGCAGCTGTGAGAGAGCCACGTAGTAGGGCAGTGCTCCTGGAGCGGATGACGCGCTCTCCATGCTGAACCTGCTGCTGTGGGAAAGACCCCCAACTCAGAGGGGCAGCCCAGGCCCTCCTGGTCGTGTGTGCCCACACCCGCTCCCACCCCAACCCCTGACAGCTCAGCAGGTGGCCAGCAGGAACCTGGCTCCTCCGTGTCCCTGGTCATCTCAGAGGAGTTCCCGCCCCTTCCCCCCCAAACCTTGTGCACCCTGTTGCCTGCCTCAAGCACCAGACCTGGCACACACGGGGACCCTGCCCAGGGGAGAGAGGCTGCCATGAGCCCCTTGCTCAGGGGGCCCCACTGTTGGTCCTGCCTGCTGGTTCTGACCCTGGTCTGGCACAGCCTGTAGGTAGGTAGATGGGATGGCAGGAGAGGACCAGGCTTAGGTTCTGGTCCTTTACTGAGGTTGCCACAGGAGGGCGCTGCCACAGAGCTCAGGCTGCCCACAGCATTGGTGTGGTAGCTCTGCGCCGGCTTAGGGCAGTGCAGGGTAAACACGCACCCTCCCCGTAGTAAAACGCAGGCTCTCAGAAGTTACGAGCCACCAACACTGCTGTATGTGCTTGCGCACTTCCGCCTGCGAGAAGAAGTACGGTTGTATTACAGGAAAGGGACCCTAGCATTCTGCCGCGCGGTTCTCCTGCCTGTGAACTGCCAGCCTCTGCCCTTGGCCGCGTCACACGGTCCTTGAACCCACGCCCCCAGTCCCCTGTGGCTCCCGGCTAGCTCTTGGGCCTCCTGTCAGCGCCAGCTCCACACCCCACGCACTAAGTGCACTCTTGTGTGGGACTGCGGCTGGTGGCTTCCTCAGGCCACAGTGCCCCCCTTCCCCTGCCACCAACCCCTTGGAAGGGCCTGGTGCGCGTGTCCAGGCTTCTGGCGTCAGCACTGAACTTTGGATCTGGGGCTCCTGCTTGGGTCCTTGTCACCTCTAGGGTCAATTCTGCCCTCCTCCCAAATCCAGCTGCTGGTCCCCACGCTCCTGGTGCTCACGCCACCCGCCAGAGGATGCAAGCAGCACCAGGGTTTTGGCTTCATGGAGGGCTCGGGATGTGGGTTTCTCACCCAGGACCACGAGGGGCTATGCAAGTGCCAGGCCCAGCCAACTCCACCCATGCAAAACGGAGCCCCTTCCCTGTCACCACCTGGCTCACCATCATGACCCTCTCTCCACCGCAGTCAGACCTGGAGCTCCTCGGCAGTCAGCCCAGCATGCCAGCAACAAATCCCACTCCTCAAGGCCTGACCTCCTGCTCCCCTGGCCGCCCAGCCCCTGCCTCCACCTGCATCCCCACTGCATCCTCACAGCCACTGGACGGGACTCCAGGCTCCCAGACACTCGGCAGCCTGTGGGCACTGCGCCCTTACTACCCGAGCCACACCCCTGCAAGGGCGTGTCACTCACCTGCTGTCCCTGCGCCAGCACTGGCCTCCTCCCCTCCTCTTCCGGCTCTGTCTCAGGCTCGCTTCCCGGCCTGGCCCACACTCTCTCGCCCTGGGAAGCTGACGACCTAACTCCCAGGGGACACCGTCCTGAAGGCAGAAGCGCTCTCCTCCCTCCCAGGCCTCTGCCTGCTTTATTGGATTCGCCCCCAGAGAGCCTGGTGCAGTCAGAATCTGATTAGCTCCCAATCAGGAGGAACATCACCCGGGGCCTGGGCCACCTGTCACAGCTCCAGGATGTCCCCAGGATACAAATGGCAGATCCGGGTGCTCAGAGCAGCAAGAAGCGCCCCACCCCCCTCACAGTGCACGTTCCTCCTCGCTAGCCAAGCCCCTTCTGGACCCCTGGTGTCACCCCAGAGCCCTTACCCTGAAGCCTGCAGGAAGCCAGCACCACAGTGGGGTAGGACCCAGCGGCTGGAGCCCTGCCCTGTGCGGGCACCATACTCTGTCCCCGATCCTCAGGATGCCTCAAGGAGAGCAGACGGGGACTTTGCCCTGCCTTGACAGAAGAGGAACGCAGAGCCAACAGCAAACAGCCGCCCAGCATCAATATCTACTGAGTGCTTAGTACACAGTCACCATGCCAGCTGCGGTGCCACCCAGAGAGTAGGCAGCGGCACTATGAGGGCCTGCAGATAAGCCGTGGGGCACGCGGGTTTCAGAGAAAAATGGATGAGAACTCAACAAGCCTGGTCTCCAGCTCCCTTCCTGCTGCACACTGAAGGGAAGGCCCCCCTCTCTCAGTGCCGCACCCTGGGGTCTCCTCCGCAGGCCCCCTCTCTCAGTGCCGCACCCTGGGGTCTCCGGCGCAGGCCCCCCTCCCTCAGTGCCGCACCCTGGGGTCTCCTGCGCAGGCCCCCCTCCCTCAGTGCCGCACCCTGAGGTCTCCTGCGCAGGCCCCCCTCCCTCAGTACCGCACCCTGAGGTCTCCGGCGCAGGCCCCCCTCCCTCAGTACCGCACCCTGAGGTCTCCGGCGCAGGCCCCCCACCTGCTATGGCTGTGGCTTCTCCCCTTCCCCAGGCCCTATACCAGGAGGCTTGGCCTCACTTCCCAGATGGAAGTGGCTCTGACGAAGGGTCCCAGGTCCCTTCTGCTTCCTCCCCACCCTGGGCCAGGGGCCCCCACGCACCAAGTCCAGGCGTGCCCTGCATGCTGTTCCAAGAGAAAAGGGGCAGGTCATGGGTGGACAGCAGAGAAAGCATTCCAGTGGATGGACAACTGCAGGGTTTTTTGGGGTTTTTTGTTTGTTTGTTTCTGTATTTTCTTTAAAAAAAAAAAATATATATATATATATATATATATATATGCCTGGCACAGTAGCCTAGCAGCTAAAGTTCTTGCCAGGATCCCATATGGGTACTGGTTCATATCCCAGCGGCCCCACTTCCCATCCAGCTCCCTGCTTGTGGTCTGGGAAGGCAGCTGAAAACAGCCCAAAGCTTTAGGACCCTGCACCCGCGTGGGAGACACAGGGGGAAGCTACAGGTTCCTGGCGTTGGATCAATTCAGCTCCAGCCATTGTGGCCACTTGGACAGTGGAAGGAAGTCACAAGGAAGATCTTCTCTCTGTCTCCTTCTCTCTGTATATCTGACTTTCCAACAAAAATAAATAAAATCTTTTTTTAAAAAACATGATTATTTACTTGGAATACAGAGAGAGATCTTCCATCCACCAGCTCACTCTCCAATGCCTGCAGTAGACAAAGCCAGGAACCCAGAGTTCAGTCCCGATCACCCACGTCCTGGAGCCATCCCCTGCTGCCCCACAGTGACATCACCAAGACGCTGGATGGGCAGAGCAGTCAGACCTGGGCTGTGGGGTCCCACGCAGCGCAGTGTCTCAACGTCTCAACGTGCTGCAGCCAATCCCTGCTCCCAGGCTACGTCCCTTGGGGGGCCGCCGGGGGGAGGGGGGGCAGGCAGGAGGATGCCCCAGGTAACTCAGGGATGGCAGGCTCCCTCTCCTATTTCAGGGTGAAAGCTGTTCATTACCCCCCACAGGCCTCGGGGGCGGAGCCACACTGCCTCCAGGCTTCCAGGAGTGACAGTCCAGGCTAAGCAGAGCCAAAGCAGGGGAGTGTGGGGCTTCACCTGGGCTGAAGAAGGGACAGGCCTCCCACACCTCCCCACCCCCGGGGCCCCCACGTGCTGGTAACGGTCCCCTGCCCGCCAGGAGAGGCTGTGAGTTCCCACGCCAGCACTTGCCTGGTGACTCCAGTGGGATTTCCTGTTTGATTGGCTGATGTCTTTGCACCATGGTCCCCAATTTCACAGTGTGCATGCTGACAACACTCACCCCCCTTTCCTAAGTTGGGGGCCAGACCCCAGGCAGCCCTCAGGCCTCTGATCTCAGAACAGAACTGTGGGCCTGGAGGCACCCTTCTTCCTCTGACCAGCAGGCCCACCACCTGACCCCTCCCCCAGCCATCTCCCCTTCCTGGGAGAGCACAGCATGGGGCATGACCGAACTCTGGCAGCTCTGCACCTTGGGGCTGTGACAGCCACCCGCCTCCATGCACCACCTGCACTGTCTCCATTTAATGTAATTAAACAGGGACACAGCTACCCGCAGGGCTAAACCTGCGCCAGGCTTTGTCAGGCATCACTCTCCTGCCCAGTGCCCACTGTTTCATTAAAAGGCAACCAGGCCTAATCTCATTAGTCGGGGCCAGGCTTGCTGGACAGCCCCCGGGCAGAGCGGGCGGAAGGCCAGCCTGGGCCCCATTCTACATCAGCAGCAGGGGCTTTAACGAAATTAGGTGGTTCTGAGGGAGGGGGCTGGATCTTCCCTAGCATGAGATGAGAAGCAGGGCCGGGTGGGGGCCGAGTGGCTGCACGGGGCTCTCTTCCCCTGCTCAAAGGGCCGCCAGAGCAAAGCAGGCCAGCTCGTCTCGGCCCACCTGCCCACCGTGGCCCACAGGCTCCAATTTGCAGTGTGGAGGGCGTGCTTTCATTTTGATCCCGTTTGGGTAAGACCTGTCCTTGTGCCAAGATAGTTATGAAAAGTACATTTTTACTTTCTTGTAGGGAGGAGGGATGGGTCCTGGGGGACCCCCAGCATCCCTGGGCAAACCAGGGCCCCTGTCTGAGCCTGTTTCCACTGGGGTTGGGCGTGGGAGCCCCGAGACCTAACCTTAGGCGACTGTGAGAAGCGCAGGTGGGAGTTGCCTTTCCCCCTCCACCCTCCGGGGACCCCAGCAGGCTCCGGCAACCTAAGATGGAACTTCGCCTAGTGACTCCTTGGAAAATCCTCAAAGGTTGACACCGCGGAAGGGCCCAGAGAGACGGAGACGTGGCTCCTCGCGCGCTGTGACTCCATGACGCAGTGCCAGTCATGGAGGGCAGGTGGCAGCAGCAGGTGTCCCCTCAGCGCACCACCACCCAGGGCCAAACCTAGGAGTCGCGCTTTGCCAAGCTAGGTAGAAGCGCCAGGATGCGAGGTGAAGACGGAAACACATCTCCCTTTCCGAACGCTTCCACTCAGCGCCCCGCAACCAGACACAGAGGTCCCCGGAGAACAGTCGTACCCACCTCCGCCCTATCTCGTCCTACAACTCGTCCGTCAGCCCCGGGG